TTGCGCCAAAGTCTTCCTGTCAACCTGGCATGCAGCCCTCCGCCAGCTGCTGGGAGCCATTACGCAGCCATGCCGCGCACGACTCATGATCCTGCACGACTCGCAAGTGTTCAGTTGTGCATCCCGACGTAAGGTTGGTGACGAGTTTTCATCGCCAGCATTCTCGCTGTTGTGGCCATTCCTGGACTTTTAGGCCGGGCCCGCACTTCGGCGGCCTGATTGCGTTCTAGGACTCGCGTGGGCTATGATCTGCGACTGTGTTTGGCGGAGTGCGGAGGGTGCTCGGATGCTGCTCAGCCTGGCTCAGCGGGAGGCATATCGTCGCCAAATGGAGTCTTGCTAGGATTGCGGTGGGGATGGCCGAAGCTCTTGCTGCTACGATGCACGCGGCGGCTGCAACGCAAGCTGGTGGTGCCGCGGGACGCAAGCGCTGATGGTGCATGATGGTGCTGCGGCGCAAGCTAGTGGCGCTGAGGCTGGCGCGGCAGGCAGACCACGGTCAGCTGACGCGGTGTGGCACAAGACTGGAGCAAAAGCTAGGCAGGCTGCAAGTCGTCGAGGCTGGGGGGCTGGAGGAGCCGGTCGTGGGCCCCGCGTTTGTGCTCGAGGTGACTCGCGACAAAGGCGTCGCGCCCGAAGCAGGGGACCGAGAGCATGGTAAGCCCGTGGCGTTCCGACGGGAAAGACCAGTCCCTAACCCAGACGGGTTCCGCTCCGTCACTTCCGCTGAGGTCTGCGATGCCGGTGGGTTCCTCACCGGCCGAGTTCCAGATGCGTGCTTTGCCCTCATGGAATTGGATTCGCACGGGCCTACAGGGCGGCTGCAAGGACGTCGTGCAGCGTGCGGGCGCGCGCGCTCCGGTACCGCAACTATGTACGCATCGTCAAGGAATGCGAAGGTGGCCTCGCCGTCATGGGCATCAACAGAACGCTTGGCCGCCGTCAGCCTGACACACATTGTGCGCGCAGCCATCATCGTCGTACTATGTGTGGATGCTGGGGGCAGCAAATGCTGCACCTTCGGTCGGGAGAGAAGAGGTCCGAGGGCAGCACTCTGCATCGGCTGGGTGATCCTGGATCCAGCGTGCGCGGGCCTTTTTGAAGCAGTTGGCGAACGCCCCTCGCAGGTGTTCGGGACATCGCCTGTTTGCGACGAAATGCGGCCGCCAATGCAGTCCCGTCACGCGCGTCGGCAGCAAACGTTGCAGCAATGCGGCTTCGGGGCGCAGGTGCTCATCGGCCTGCGACAAAGCAGTCCAGGTGGCCGAGCGGGACAGGGTGGCAAGTTCCACTCGCGAACTTCCGGGACCTCAGGCGGCGGCTGCTCCTCCTGAGCATTGCAGATTTGTCTCTTGCCCAGGACGGGCTCAAAAAACAAAAAACCCTCACCGGCAACGACGCCGGCATAGGCTCGGTGCCCAGCTCGCTTCGGCGTGGTAATAACGTAAAGACGCTTGGGTCTGCACCCCGGCGTGCACAGAAGTGAAACCATAATGTACATCATTCATGCGATGTTCGCATGCAAGAGTGCACCGAACAAGCATATATCAACAGCAGCACCCACAAACAAAACACGCAAGCATCATCAAGCATCAGTATGACCACTCAGAGTTGTGCCATACATCATGGCAAAGTCACTCATATGTCACACGCCGTATCAGCAAGGCAGCGCCGCATGCGGACAGACCATCAGCGACCTTCTGGCCCGACACGGCCAAGGCCTCCGATCGCCAGCGGGATGGCTGACCGCGCATATCCTGGCGCAAAAAGGGCACGAACAAAAGCAAAAAAAACCAGCGCGGGCGGCCTGCGCGGGCGGCCTGCGCGGTCGCGGCAGTTTTATTTCCTATGCCGGAAAACGTGAGGGGGGGGAGGGAGAATTAGGAATAAAGCAGCCAACATCGCAGAAAAAAAACTAAAAAGAACTTTCGCTGCTGCTTGCTGCGAGCCTTCCTTCATGATGTGTACGTGACTTCACCACCACCTCGCGTCTCACATTTTGTCGGTGGGCTGCAGCACCACTTTTCGACCAAGCGCACATCCGCCTCAACCCGTCCAAGACTCGTGTTTTGAACGCGGCCCCGAGGGCCTTCTAGCGCCCGAAGGTGCGCAGATCTGGGTTGGTGATGCGCGCCTTCCTGCATCGGAACGTGGCCTCCGCGTGTTCGGAACCCCACTCGGCACGCCCGAGTACATAGCCGTGCAGCTTGACACCTTGTCCACACAGCACGGCCGCTTTTTTGCGAGGCTCCCTGATGTCCCCGACCTTCAGGTTGCGTGGCTGCTGCTGTTGTGTTGTGCCGTGCCCACGGCACAATACATGCTCAGGGTCTTGCCCCCCAGCAGGACACGCGATTTCGCCTCTGCGCATGACCGGTCTGCTTCGTGTTGAGTCCGCCGGGGAGTTCCTGGACAACGAGCTTGTCTGCGGGCGGGCCCACCTCAGCTTTCGGCATGGGGGACTCGGGCTGCGCAGTGCGGCGTGAAACGCTCCAGCGGCCTCCTTCGCATCCTGGGCTGATTGCATCCCGGCCATTTCTGCTCGTGACCCTCACAGCCACACGACAGTTGCAGGGGCTTGCTGAGGCGGCGCCGTCACTGTCAGCTTTGAGGGATGCGGCGCACACACTCACTGATGCAGGCTTCCAGGCCCCGCCGCGGGATGGCGCCCCTTCCCCGACAGCTGATCAGCCAGACGACCAGCCTGCTGACTTCACTCGAGTCTCACGTCCTTGACACGGCATTTGCGGGCTCCCTGGCACAGAGGCTGGACGTCCCCTCACAAGCGCTGCTTGAATCCCAGTCCGGCCCCTTGCCCACCTCCCCCGAGGTGCGGCTCGAACCGGCTCTCTTCCGAGTGCTGTTGCTACGCCGCCTGCGCCTGCAACTGCACCTGGTTCTGCCCTGTGCCCGTGTCGGCGCCGCTTGGATGCTTTTGGCGACCACCCTGCTTCTTGCCCACGCTCGGGTTTGTTGCGCTCACGAGCTGTCCCGCTCGAGCGAGCTGCCGCTCGTGTCTGCAGAGAGGCCGGGGCCACTGTCGCCACCAACGTGCTACTGCGCGACCTCAACCTCGTTATCCAACGGCAGGACGAGCGGCGCATAGAGGTCATCGCCAACGGCCTTCCCGTTTGGAGTGGCGCCCAGTTGGCAGTCGACACCACGCTCGTGTCAGCTTTGGACTCGGCAGGGCAGGCTCGCCGTCACCAACTCCTCACAGCCGGAGCTGCCCTGACCGTCGCTCGGCAGGCCAAAGAGCGCACATACCCCGAACTCCTCCGCTCCGCACGGTGCCGGCTGGTTGTGGTCGGGATTGAGCTCGGAGGGCGATGGAGCGAGGAGGCAGCCTTCATCCGACTCCTCGCTCGTAGCCGCTCCCGCGCAGCCCCCCCCATGCTGCGATCCAGCGCCAGGGCCGCCTACGTCGCGCAGGAAAGCTGCACTGCTTGCTCGTATGTTGTTTTCATATCTTTGAAGCACAGGCTGTTGCAATTGCAAACTATGATGCACCACAGGAAGGGGCAGGCAGTGACCTTTGATGCACCACAAAGCACGGGCAGCGTGTCCCCTACCAAAATTGATGATGCACATTCAGCGTTGGGAAGCTGGTGCAACTGTTGCAACCAATGTTCTTGTCCGCGACTTGAACCTTTCGGCAGCCAGGCATGATGAGCGACGCATTGAAGTTATTGCCAATGGCTTGCCCTTGTGGGGCGGCTCGCAGCTGGCCGTTGACACAACTTTGGTCTCGCCACTCACTTCCGCTGGTCTGCCCCGTCGCCGGCGTGGCAGCACAGCAGGCGTAGCCCTGGCTGAGGCGCGCCGGGCCAAAGAGCGCACTTACCCTGAGTTCGCTGCAGCCCATCGGTGCCGGCTGGTTGTTCTTGGCCTCGAGGTTGGTGGTCGCTGGAGTGCCGAAGCAGCCACCTTCATCCGTTTGCTCGCGCGAGCGCGGGCGCGCGGCGCAGCTCCGTCGCAACGTGCTGCGTGTATAGCGGCTTTCGTCGGACGATGGTCTGGGTTCTTGTCCATCGCAGCTGCCCGCTCATTCGCTGCCAGCCTGCTGTCCCTGCCCATCTCCAGCACCGCGAACCTTGACGGAGACGCGCCTCTCCTGAGCGACGTCCTCGCTGACTCGGCTGAATCGCCGCCGCTCGCCTCTCGCTTGGGGTGAGCCCGGGTCGGTGGTTAGGCGGGTTGTGGGTCCGGTAGGGCTCGGTGGGCTGCTGCACTGGGACCGCGATCGGATGCTGGAAAAAAGGGTGCGGAGAAAAAAAAAAAAACAACAAGCCCACATTCGACACAGGCGAGACGATTGTGAATCATTGCTTGTTTGATTGTTTATTGGCGGTTCGTGGTTTGAATTAGACGGAGATGGTGTACCATGAGTGTACGGCGATCCCGTCATTCGAGGTGTTCCCTGCATTCAATGGTTGGCATGGTGAGCCGTGGTGTGACGCCATGGGCCGTGTAACATAGTGTGTCAGTGTAGATACCGTGGAATATGCAAAGTGTAAGGTGTTGCAGGTTGCGAATGTTTTTGCAACCGGGTTGACCCCTGTGCATATTAGGACCATCGATTGACTCGAATACCCAACGACCAACGTGACAGTCCAAAGGCCGGCTTGGCTGTCCGTCATTCCGCCTTGCCATTTGGCGCATTGGATTTTTGTTCTGGGTTGCGCAAGTTTTGTTGTTTGTGTTTGTGTGTGTGTGTGTGTGTGTTTGTGTGTTTGTGTGTTTGTGTGTTTGTGTGTTTGTGTGTTTGTGTGTTTGTGTGTGTTTGTCTGCGTGTTCACGATGGCAGTTTCGGCTCAGCAAATGGTGATCTGTGTTTCGTGTGCAATAGGCACGCGGCTGCTTTTGCAGCAAGGCCTGCTGTACCGACGTTAAATGTAATTAATTTCGGCAAATTAATGCTTGCGTGTTGACAAATGGTTGACAAGGAGGTGTGCGAGTGAATGGTGCAGGTGATTGGTTTTGATGCGCGGTGACAGCAGATGACAGATGTGTGGTCAACGCCATCGATTGGAGGCTTCCGGCGTTTCATGGGATCATTTTGGCAACCGCTTGGCAATCACAATGTTGCATAATGTTGCATTGTTTTTTTGGCCTGTTGCTCGTAATGAAGGTGAAAGTATGTCTCCGTCGTGTCGCCCACACAGCTCCATCATCGCCACTACATCCATTTATGAGCTGCCGCCAACGTGTGTCGCAAAAGCCGCTGCACTGCTACGGGGTCAGCCAGATGCTTTGGAATCGTTTCTGGCCCAGCCACACTGTGCCAGAGCATTGTGGCTTCAAGGCCTTGAAAAGTCGGACGTTTTATCGACCGCGAGCAACGCGAGTGGTGTGAAGCCGGCAAGCCCGAGAAACGTGCCAGGGCAATCACCACGAACGCGATATGCAATGCAACTTCTGGGGCAAGTGATTTGGGAGGCTGAGCTGTGCACGGGCACGCCAATGAAACAGACTGAGGGTTGCGATCGGACATCACCACGTCATTTCAACAGAAGCCATGGCGAACATAGCTCATCACCTGAAGTCAGGACGTGTGTGGATGGGAGTTGTGGCCGGCCGAGGACGCGTCCCAGACCTCAGTCTGCCCACGTTCGGACGACCGAAGCGCCGGAAGACATTGGAGACCTCCGGCGTTGGGAAGCCAAACTGTCCTTTGCAGTGTACCTTAAAGCACAGCACCACAAAGAGGTGAAAGAAAGAGCCCGATCACGGAACTCACGTATTGAAGCAGTACGAGCCACTGGTGCCCAGATGAAGCAGGAGCACGCGGATCGACAGCAGTCCCAATGGCAGTGCCGTAGCAAGGGTCATGAGGAGCGCATCGCTAGAAGCAAAGGTGCCAAGCAAGAAATTTCAGAGCTCATGACGAACGCGGCTGCTGTAAGGCAAGCAGTTCTTGAGACGAATCGTCGCAAGATATTCCTGCAGCAGGAGGAGTTGAGGAGCCAACGCATCGAGCAGGAGTCAAGAAGGTGAGCCTGGATGACAGTCTAAGTGGCTACTAAGACTAGACGGGGTTTGCACTCATGATTCAATAATATTCAATATACGCCTTTCTTTTGTGGGTTTGAATGTGCTTGTGTGCTGAGTGTGGCCGCTTTTTCCTGAAGCACTTTGGATCTTGGTACCTTTGGCAAGGCAGTCGGAAGCTGAGCAGAAGCGCCGTGCGCTTCTGCAGGAGAAAGGTGTTGGAAGAGCAAAGCTGCGAGCGACGCGAGAGATTTCGCACAAGCAGGCTTTGCGTTTGGAACGACGCTTGGATCCGCAGCATGTTGTGCGTAATAAGACAAGCTTTTGGTGCAATGTTCACAAGGTCTGCATGTTTCGTGCTCAGGCATCAGATGTGTTGAGCGCGAAACGCTGCGGCAGAAACTGGAGAACAAATCTCCATCAGCCACTCCGTCCGTGTCACCCCGTGCCCGAAGTCGACCCAGCAGTGCCAGAATCTCACAGCCGCAACCGCTGCGCATCCCGCACCCGCCTTTCAGCAAAGCGCCGGCAGCACGAAGGCCTGTGGTCCATGGTTACAAGCCTGACAGTAGTGGATGCGATTGGGAGCCGCTTGTTGACAAAGTTCCAGAGCCATCCTTGATGCCTTGGCCACGATGTGCGGATACCGTGGTGCAGGCAGGTGTGTCGGCAGGTGTGTCAGCAGGCGTGTCAGCTTGAGTCTTTTTGGACGAAGGCACACCTGCCCGTGAGGACGAAAGCACGCAAAGGAGAAGGCCTAGTTCGGCACATGGGGTCGACTGGTGCGCAGGACGAACGAGACCAGCGCCGGAACCGTCAGGAACGGCGGCGGCTTCTGGTGATGTTTTGGGTGCAGAGGGCCTCTTCCCAATGTTGGGTTTCCGAATGGTCACGGCCATAGTTGAAAGTTGATGGACGTTCCACAGTTCTGAGCACAAGCTAGCACGTCGCACGGGGAAACTGAGTCTTAACGCGCCGAGTTCACAGGTACCTACAGATGATGTATTGGAGGAGCAGCTGGCAGCAGCCGCCAAATCTTTCCATGATGATCTTGGGCCATGGGCCGCTGATAGACCCAACATTGAGCCAGAGGATGCGGGACCAGCAGTTGCTGTGATGAAATTGGTGACTGCATGCGCCACAATTGCCATATGGTCATGAAAGTCGTTGCTGTCTACAAGTGTGTACAAGTGCACGAGCAGACAATATGCAGGTCCATACTGTCACTCAGATGGGTTTCTTCCCGAGAGAGAAAAATAGAGAGAGAGAGAGAGATCTCGCGTTTCAAGATACAAAGGGTAGGGGGCTGAAAGCCGAAATGACAGCACGAGATTTGATGACTTGGTGAATAAGAATGAGGGTAGTAATGACAGGGGAAGGGGGAACCGGTCACGCGCCCAGGGGCAGGCGCGGACGCTCGGGTTCTTGTCCCCATGCCCCAAGAAAGAAAGGAAGGAAGGAAGGAAGGAAAGAAGGCAAGAAAGAAAGAAAGAAAGACAGAAAGAAAGAAAGAATATAGAACAAGAACGAAAGCAAGGAAGGAAGGAAGGAAGGAAGGAAGGAAGGAAGGAAGGAAGGAAGAAAGAGAGAGAGAGAGAGAGAGAGTTGTGAGCAAACACTTGTTTGCAGAGGGGAATCGGCCCCAGGTACAAAGGTCTCACGCTTGGGGAAAGCAGTCGGAACACCGACACCTGAGTGGACATTTCACCACAGGACGGGATTCGGGCGCGCGTCCGCGGAGGGGTCCGGGGCTCCTTCAAGCCCAGCAGAAGAAGAAGAGCACACAACTGTCCCATGGCACCGCTCCGGAAACAGGGGCGGGCGATGTCGCGCGGGGGCCCCGGCCCCCATGCCCTCCGAAAGAAAAGAAGGAAAGAGAGCACACAAGTGCACTGGAGACTCGACAAGGAAGATCGCGCTTGTCACACGTTGGAGCAAAGCGAACAATCTTAGCCGTGTTTGCTTTGGCAAGAGGGAAGCTGTAACTTTGATGCATGGAGAAGCAAAGTCTAGAGGGGGAACTTTCCAGATCAGAAAGCCCTGTCTCCTGTTTCCAATGGTAAGTTTCATGAGGACACTGAACATTCCGGGCGGGCCAAGTGTGCGGAGGGTGCTTGCGCTCTTCAAGCACTGCAGAAGAAGAAGAAGAAGAGGAGGAGCAGCATCTGCATGGGGGTTTCCACCAAGCCCACATATAGAGAGACAGAGAGAGAGCGACACGAAGTGAGCAACGGGCTGGGGAGAAAGTACTTGTCCGAAGCTTTCGAAAGTGTCACGCTCACATTCTGCCCTGAACAGCTCACAGTAAGGCTTACTGGGAGTAACCTCTTGGACGGGGTTTGGTTGGCCACGTGTAAGTACAAGTAAGCCGTCATTGCTGCGGAGGGGCGACGGGAGCACCGCGTCTGATAAGGGAGAACACCGACCCATTAAGTGAGTTCCATAATGTTTGTCCTAACACCACCTCATTCTCCCGGGAACTCAGATGCATCGGTAATTCCGCTACGCACGCCTACTGGCGGACCTCTCCAATGGGGGAGGGATAAGTGCGCAGAAAGAAAGAAACAAAGACGAAGAAAGCGACAGAGAAAAGACCCGAAACCCTTCAGCCCACCAGCAGAAGCAGGAGGAGAAGCAGAAGAAGATAGAGAGAGATAGAGAGATGGAGGGAGCTGGAGAGACAGAGGCATGGGGAGAAGGAGCTCAGCATGAGCTTGCAAGAAGACGTAAAGAAAGAGAGTGAAGATAATTTCCCTCTTGATGAGTAAGAGAGAAATGATATGGGAGTGGCAATCCTTCACGCCAGCCAGGCTCCACATGTTGTCCCGATTGAGTTCATGGAAGACGGACAGCAACGCAATGAGGAGCTGAACCCAGACCAAGCTGTCACTTAGCTGGCTTGATTGTGAAGTGTGTGGCGTGAGTTCTTCAAGGAGTGAAAGCACGGTAAAAGGGGAAAATAACGAGAGAGAGAGAGAGAGAGGCTGGCCATCTTCACGTTTGGACCCCGTTTCGGGGCATGCACTTTGCACCGGATCCTCCAGCCTCTAGCCTGTACACGCTTAAAGCAAGGGGCCCCAGGAAAAGCGCAACAAAGAAACCGCGGCCCGGGCTGCACCGACGGAGTGATTGAGGGTGGAACGGGGAAGGAAGCAGAAACATTTTCTTTTTCTTTGCGGTGGGTCAATTGCTTGCGCAGGAGCAAACAGGGGCAGAGGGGAGAGCAGTTCTGAGCATGGATTTTGGCTGGTTGAAGTTTCAAGCCAGTATGCTGTTTCAGCGTTTCAGGATGGGCAAGATTTCCTTCCCGGCAGCCTGTCGTCGTTGATTTCCTGCCGTTTTCTTGTTTCGCATGATCTTCGATTGACCATGTCGCTCAGGTTACGATTGTGGCCGATGCAGATGCAGATGGATTGGCTGAGAACCCAGGAACTGGGCAGCGAACCTACATGGAATCGCTAGATCGAGATCCGCATGCCGTGACTCAGCTGGATTGGTTGTGCAAGTGTTGTACATTGCCTGACGCTCGCACTGTGAGGACATTGTATCATCCCTTCAGCAGTCATTGAAGGAGGTTTTTCCAGGAAAGCAGGGCCGGGCCAGTGTTGGGTGGGGATTCGCATTTGGCGGAATGGTTGTTTATACTCTGGGAAGGTATGTTGCTGACAGTTGAGGATGTTGAGATGATGTAGAAGACTTCTTCAGGTGTTTTCGAGACTGAGATTGAAAGGCGTGCATTGGGTCTCTGAAATCGCTCGCGTGCTTCCACCAGTAGTTTCGTTCAATCGCCGGCTAGTTGTTTTTGCAGCCGAAGGGTTTTCGCCAGCCGAAGATGAGTAGCTGTTTGCAAGAGAACAGGAAATAGATTTTAGCGTCAGTGTTTAGTATACATTTTTGTTCGGGTGACCTGTGCTGCCAGGCGGAGGGGGGGGGGCCCAGGTGATGCTACGCAACAAACTGAAAAGACTATGGTGGAAGCATGTTGGCAATTGGCCAAGCCTTCATTCAACAGGTCCTGGTAGGTGCAGTAGTACACGTGCAAAGGCTGGTGGCGACATGTTGCAGACATGCCTCTTAGGTCAGTGCAGCAGCAGCTGACCTCGCTGCTGACCAGCCGGGATTGGAAGCTGCGACAGACCAAGCCCGGATAAACCATGCTGTTGCCCGGCTTGGTTCAGGGTTCATCAAGCTCATCAAGGTTTTTTTTTAGCAAAGAACCTCTGGCAGAGCGAGGGGCCCGCTTGCGTATTGGGTGGTCGATCCCATCAGGCGACAAGCATGCGAGAGTAGGCGGGTATTTCTCGAGAAGAAATGTGCGGGCGAGGGTCCGGCGAGGGCGTTGACAGGTTGGACCAGGATCGTGACATGATGCTCTCGAAAAAAGCTGTCTCACAGAAGCGAGAGAGAGAGAGAGAGAGAGAGAGAGAGAGCGCACCTGAAAACACGGGGGGGGGGGCCTCAGACCAAACGAACTGGACAGCTTGGCCGTCGCGGCCGCGTTCCTGCTCAGGGTGCCATTAAGTGTGGAGAAGAAGACAGCCTGTGAGTTTCTTGAGTGCCCTACAGAAGGAAAGAGAGCAAGAGAGCACTAGTCACTGAAAGGATGTGCTTAACTTGAAGATTAGGATCATAGGTAGAGTCTGGCTGCGCCGTGTGCTAGGTGAGGCTGTTCGTGTACGAGAAGCTGGCGCATGAACCTTCACAGTGGCAGTGCTTGGATTCCTGGGATGCGCCAGCCCAAGGCACTGCCGAGGACACTTCCAAGCAGGCAGTGATAAGAGTTGACAGTTGTTAATGTCGGCTGTTGCAACAGCCTAGAGTTCTGCAGCAACCGAATGTTGCCTATGCTTCTCCACTTCATGGCCAATCTGAGCAGGTTCTGAGCACAGAGGCTGTCGAAATTACCTCTGGGCAAATTCCGCTTGCTGATGGCACTCCGGTTGCCTGGGGCGTGACCGAAAGCAAATCAGTGCAAGAGACTGAGGGCAAGTCGTCACCTAGCCACAACTCGCAGGCCGGCATTTTTGAAGCTTCTGCTCAGTCAGAATGACATACTCAAACCTCTTCTCGAACTTTCTGTCACTGTCACGAAGGTGAGATTTGATGAGGCATCTCACAAGTCCATGGACATTCCAGAAGTGGATGTCATGACAGCAGGGATGGCTGCAGAGACCCGGTACAACGTGGTCACAGTATGTTTTGACATATGTGTGCATGTGGGGCACATACACCAAGGTGAACTCGAAGAGGGTCCCCCCAGGAAGCGAAACAAGCAGCCAGAGCTCGTGCTCGAGGAGCTCTTAGGAGCTACCTGCAGTGCTTCGGCAAAAAAGGGGCCGGAACTATTTCATCTCAGCTTGTACTGGGGTATTGGGCGGGGGTCCGAGTTTACACACCACGCTCTCTTTTGCAAAAAACGCACGACGAACCTCCAAGCGGCTATACAGTACAAGTGCAATACTCCAATATCAACGAAGAGCCAGACGTTTTGTTGCGCGCGCGCGCGCGCGCGCGGGGGTGTGTGTGTGTGTGTGTGTGTGTGTGTGAGTCAGCAGTAGACCTACAAGGGGCTGTCGGTTTTTGCACCTGCCAAGACGCTGAGGCGTGAGCATGGAACTTGAGCGACGCTTACTTGCAAGCAGTGCCTTTCCTAGGGGGCCCTGAAAGAGTGGCTTCAGCACTTTGGGATCGATGGGTTGAAGTGGTTTTGGGACTTAAGGTTTGGGGTTTGTCCCCACCTCGGTGTGGGGTTGTTAGACTAAACTCAACTCTGCTCCTCGCCCCCCAGAACTCTTCTCCTCGCCCGGAACTCTTTTTGTCGCCCAGTCTAGAGTGTCTTTGGAGTGCCCAACCCCAGAGTGCCCAACCCCAGAGTGCCCAACCCCAGAGTCTCCCTTGAGTGCCCAACCCAGAGTCCCAAGCCCAGAGTCTGCCTAGAGTGCCCAACCCAGTCCCCGGAGTGCCCAGCCCCAGAGTCTCCCTGGAGTGCCCAACCCCAGAGTTTCCCTGGAATGCTAAACCCCAGAGTGTTGCCCAACCCCAGAGGGGATGTTCGAAGTAAAATAATGTTTAGAATTGCGGTTTTGGGGGCTTTTCAGCAGGGAAAACCACTATCTGCACCCGCATGCCCTTGTGACGAGGTGTTTCAAGACCCGGTATGATCCATCTCTTGATGCCGTGCCGATGAACACTAGGATGGAGTGCCTGTTTCACCAGAGTGTACGCAGCGGGAGACATGATGAAGACATATGAAGACGCACAGCATGCAGGTGCCTATGTGTAATGTCACTGGGAGTTCAAAAGTAAGAACGTCTAAGACGTCTCAACTCTGAATGGACTCTGCGTGAAGTCCGCGCGCGGTGGTTCTTTGATGAAAAAGAACGAACATTTTTCATGAACTCCAGCCGGCCGAACTGACAGCACATGTGCACGTGTTGCTTTCATGCTGTTGCGATGTTGTTGGTTCTTGCCTGTGTTGTGGATGCGATCCGCATCATTGAGAGCTCTTGGCTTAGACAGTTTGTGCCAGCGAAGGCGAAGTGCTGCACATCACTCCAACGAGAGAAACCTCGTCTTCCCAAATTCTCTTCTATCACACACGATCGAAAACACATGCGGCAACTCACCACCAGCCCACCAGCAACGCAGTCAGCTCCCTAGTGATACATCGGTCTCTGTGTTAGTTGCGCACTTTGACATTAACGTTGCCTGAGCGTTGCTCGTCCGAACGGGCGAGTCACCATTGCAACCCTGACTCAATTCTCAAGAGAAAGATTTGCCTTTGAGCAAGCCTTAGCGGCGAAATGCCTGCGAATAAGAAGAAGCAGGTGGCCACACCACCATCTTCCGATGAAGAGCCGGAGGAAAGCGACTCAGGCAGTGAGCCTGAGGCCGCGCCCAAGAAGAAGAACCTCTTTGCCATGATGATGGATTCGGACGAGGAGGACTCAGATGAGGAGGAGGAGGAGGAAGAAGAGGAGCCGCCGCCGAAGAAGCCGGAAAAGAAAGCCGAGAAGCCGGAGAAGGTCGAGAAGCCGGCCGAAAAAAAGGCGGAAAAGGCAGCAGAAAAGTCCGACAAAGTGGACAAGGACTCGTCGCCGGAAAAGAAGAAAAAGAAAGATGACCAGGTGGATGACGAGATTGCCATGTTTGGCGAGAAGAAGAAAAAGAAGAAAAGTGCAGACAAGGAGGAGAAGGATTCCAAGGACGAGAAGAAGGACAAAAAAGAGAAGAAGGAAAAGAAAGAGAAAAAGAAGCGCGGCCCCACCGTCTGTGAAGTCGTAGAGGCCTCCCCGATTCCCAAGAAGGACAAGCTGAAGCTTTGCAAGGTGCTAATAGCTCCAGGTATTGATCCTGTTGAGATCGTCACAAATGCCCCGAACGTCATTGCCAACAAGAAGTTCATCGCGGCCCCTCCTGGCTACACTACAGCGAACGGGGTGGAGGTCAAAGTTTCCAAAGTGGGTGGCGTTGAGAGTCAAGGCATGTTCTGTGGCCCAAAGGAAATGGGATGGGACTTAGACGTGCTGGAACCAGATCTGGCAGTCATGCTCGCAGATTCCGCAGAACCTGGACAACCAGCACCTTCGTATGAAGAAGCTGTGGAGGCCCTCAGAGAGCGGGAGCAAGAAGAAATCAAGAAACGTGAGGAAGCAGCAAAGGCAGCAGCCGCCGCGAAAGCAGCAGCCAGCAAGGATGACAAGAAAGGCGGCAATAAGAAGAAGAAGGGACACTTGCCTCTCAGTTGTGGTTTCTCTTGGGGATTGGGATATTCCCGGATATCGTAAGCCTTCTGAGACACTGGGCCAGGCAAGCCATCTTTCCGAAAGGGTTGTGCCATGTTGTGCCCATGCCTTTCCCAAGTTATTTTCCTGATGGTCCTATAGCGGCACTGACATCACGTGCCCAGGTTGTCGGATAAAAACGGCTCTCCAGATGCATACTCCCTTGTTCAGGAAAGGGCAAGGACGATGACGAAGACCTGGATGAAGTTTTGGCGGACTTCAAGGAGGAGGCTCCAGGCGACGACGCTAAGTCCGCAAATCAGAAGAAAAAGGACAAGAAAAAAGCACAGAAGGCAGCAGATGATGACGACTTTGATGCTGCCCTTGGCGAGTTCCAACCTGAAAAGCCCGAGCCAAAGGCCAAGGCAGGACCAAAGTCAGCAGCTGAGAAGAAGAAGGCCCAGAAGAAAGCTGCCGATGAGGACTTCGATGCGGCTTTGGACGAGTTTGAGGATGACAAACCCGAGCCAAAGGCCAAGGCGGGACCGAAGTCAGCAGCTGAGAAGAAGAAGGCCCAGAAGAAGGCTGCCGATGAGGACTTCGATGCGGCCCTAGACGAAGTCCAGGAGAAGAAGGAGACGCCTGTTGAAGAATCTGCTCCAGAGCCCAAGGCCAAGGCAGAAGCAAAGTCGGCAAGTGCAAAGAAAAAGGAGAAGAAGAAAGGCCAGAAGGGTGCTGCAGAAGATGACGACTTCGATGCAGCCTTAGAGGAGCTCGGTGGCGACAAGACAAAAGCCCAAGAGACCAGCCCAGCAGCAGCCGAGGAGGCACCCCAGGAGCCAAAGAAAGCTGCAGAGGCTGACAAGGAGGACAAGGAGGACAAGGAGGACAAGGAGGACAAGGAGGATGAGGAGATGGATGCCAAGACGCTCGCCAACCGTAAGAAGAAGGAGAAGAAGGCGAAGGCAAAGGCAAAGCAGAAGACAGGAGGAGAAGGGATGTGGGCCTCAGCAGAGCCAGCAGAGGCTGAGGAGAAAGCCGAGGAACCCAAGGAACCCAGCAGCCAGAAGCCCAAAGCCAAGGCCACCCAGCCGAAGAAGGAGAGCGCCATTGTTAGGGCTGCTCGGGAGCGCCTGGAGGCGGAGCAGAAACTGGCGGAAGAGAAGCGTGCCTTCGAAGAGGCGGAGCGGAAGCGAATTGAGGAGGAGCAGCGTGCCATCGAGGAAGAGGAGAGGAGATTGGAAGAAGAGCGCCAGAAGCGCCGAGACGCCAAGGCTGCCAAGATTGCGAAGCAGAAGGCGGAGGGCACCTATTTGACCAAGGCACAGAAGCTCAAAGCCCAGCGTGCAGCACAGCTGCGTGAGCAGTTCGGCTTTACCATGGACAAGGAAGAGGATGAGGACGCCGAGAAGGGGGAGAAGGATGACAAGGAGGAGAAGGAGAAACAGAAGCGTCCCATGGCCACCAAGCTGAAGAAGAAGAGGCAGGCCCAAGGTGAGGAGGGCTCACTTGAGAAGGAAAAGGAAGAAAAGGACGAACCTCCAGTGGAGAGACAGGAGAAGAAGGAGGAGAAGCATGAGAAGAAGCCAGAGAAGAAGGAGGAGAAGCCGGTTGAAAAGGAGGACGAGGAGAGTGATGGCTGGGAGAAGCTTGATGAGCAGGAGGAAGAGAAAGAGGAGGCCGGCAAGGAGGATGAAGAGGCCTCTGAAGATGAGAGCGGGGACGAGAGCAGCAGCTCCAGCAGCTCTTCTTCTTCATCCTTCATGGGGTACCGTTCCCCAGTCATCTGCATCATGGGGTGCCTTGCCTGCACGTGCGATGAAGTATCGGTGCGTCATGCCATGTCATGCCCTCTCATTTGCAGAACTGTGCTTTTTCACGCTCCTCGTCGCTTCACATGCTGGCATTGGAGTCCACAGTCGGGAAATCAAAGCAATCCCGCAACCCGCAACTCTCCACGCAAAAGGAACGCCTAGGACGATGTGACTCCCCAAAAGGTGCGACGAGACGGTGCAACCTCACAGGTTGTGTGAAGAGCTAGGAGAAATCAAACCTCAAGCATATGCCAAACTGCAAGAGAGGGAAAGTGACAACAAGAAGGCCCAAATGCTCTGAGAAGCCTTATTATTTCCATTAGCAACGCATATTCCCGAGGCTGCGAGAGAGAGAGAGAGAGAGAGAGCATCGTATATGGCAAAAGATGGCGAGGGAAGGGAGCACAGTGTTTTGGCCTCGTGCCCGCATGCAAAAAAAACATATTTCGCAAGGTGAGCCTGCAACTACAAATCTGACATGACCTAAGTTCCACAACCACAATCTCTTGTTCATCTCTCTCTCTCTCTCTCTCTGTGGCTCTGCCTCTCTCATCTCTCTCATCTCTCTCATCTCTCTCATCTCTCTCATCTCTCTCATCTCTCTCATCTCTCTCATCTCTCTCATCTCTCTCATCTCTCTCATCTCTCTCATCTCTCTCATCTCTCTCATCTCTCTCATCTCTCTCATCTCTCTCATCTCTCTCCTCTCTCTCATCTCTCTCATCTCTCTCATCTCTCTCATCTCTCTCATCTCTCTCATCTCTCTCATCTCTCTCATCTCTCTCATCTCTCTCATCTCTCTCATCTCTCTCATCTCTCTCATCTCTCTCATCTCTCTCATCTCTCTCATCTCTCTCATCTCGCTCATCTCTCGCATCTCTCTGCATCTCTCTCTCTCTCTTTCTCATCTCTCTCATCTCTCTTTCATCTCTCTTTCATCTCTCTCTCATCTCTCTCTCATCTCTCTCTCATCTCTCTCATTTCTCTCTCATCTCTATCTCGTCTCTCTCTCATCTCCTTTCTCATCTCTCTTTCATCTATCTTTCTTTTCCTTTTTAGGGGGAATGCCTGGAAGGTCCCCCCCCCAGCCCCAGTTTTACAGGTTGCTAAAGGTGCGTAGAGCACTTTGCGAGACCTCTAACCTCTGATTGAAGTCTTGAAGGCAGTGGGAGTAGGCCTCAGCAGTTCGTGGTTCAGCGCTTTGGGCTAGTGGCTCAAAGCTTGGGGCTTTGATTCTTTGGAATTCAGGTCGAGGCTTGGACCATCTCCGTGACAAACCTTTTCAACTTATGTCTGTTGTTCTGATACTTGTTGCTTTGTTGCAGGGTCTGATGTCGCTTTCCGCCCACCGTTTTGCAGCCTCTTCACGCGTTGGCCCTGAGGCATGTCGACACAGGCAAGACGAAGCTTTTAGACAAGATCCGCCGAACCAATGTGCAAGAAGGCTGAGCTGGATGGGTTCAGAATGGAACTCTTGCTTTTTAAATTGGTCTTAAAACGGAAGGGAGCCGGCTGAAGTGGCTCATGCAAAGATCTTTTCGCTCCATGTGGGGTCTATTGCAGCAGGGTAGAAGATCACTGCTGTCTTGACGCGCGAGTTTTGCGCAGGTGAGGCTGGTGGCATCACACAGCAGATTGGAGCGACGTTCTTCCCGGACATTGCGCTGCAAGAGCAGACCAGGAAGGTGGACGAGGAGTTTGAGTTGGAGGCTGCCCAGTGGCAAGGAGCATCAGCATGTCTTTGGAAGAGTCAGAGCCAAGGGAAGCAGCGAGGGAACTCTGGAGCACATTTAGAATATCTGGGTTCTCCTCATGTCAGCGCATATAGATTGGACCGAGTTGGCGCACAGAATGCACTCAACGATTGTTTCATGTTTCTGTGTGCGATTCTGAGGTGCCCGGTCTGCTGATCATTGACACGCCAGGTCATGATGCTTGGCGTGTTTAGTGAGTATAATTTCAAGCTGCGCGTACTGGGTTCGCCGCTTCTTGTGCCATGTCGAAAAAGAGACACAGAGTTTAAGCAGCGAAAGCAATACTTGGGCAAAGCCTTGTGCCAGTGCCGGTATGTCAGTACTTGGACGCTTCCTGTGGCTCTTGCAGAACTTCTATGACTTCTATGACTCTGGAAAACACGGCACCTCTTAGCAAAACGCTCAAGCCAGCGGGTTGCTTAGGCCCATGATGCGTCTGCGAGTTCCAAAGTCCACCATAGGATTGTTGAATGGATGCCTAGGCAGTGGGCTCGTTGTGATTCTTCGTTCGAAAGACTGAGTGTAAAACAGCCCCCCTCCCTTCCCTCCCTTCCCTCCCTTCCCTCCCTCTCATCTGTGCAAGAACAGTTTTTGGGAATCTGAAGCTGGAAGCGCTTGGGGCTGTTGGGGTTGAAGGGCCTTAACACGGCCGGACGTGGTTTGAAGTTTCAGTTGCCTTAGTGGCCTCCCCTAGCCCAGGAATCCTTCAACAACCTTCGGATGCGTGGATCCTCTTTGGCCGACCTTGCCATCCTTGTCATTGACATTATGCGCCTTGGGATGATGGACTTAGCCACAGGGTTTCAGGAGGCATCGCTGCATTCTTGCGTGCTCTCCGCATGGGTTGCGCGAGTGCAGTTGCTGAGGCACGGGCTGGAGCCGCAAACGGCCTCCTGTTTCATTTTGAGGTTGTGAGTTCTAAGATCGATGATTCTGGGGGAGTCACGTTATGCAGCCATGCAGTGTTTTCGCGAGTCGGCCTGACGACAAGGTTGAGTCACTGGAGCTGCTGAAGAAGCGCCGCTGCCCTTTTATCATAGCGCTGAACAAGATCGACATCCTCTACCAGTGGAATGCAAAGTCCTACACTAGTGTCCAGGAGGCACTGGACCGACAAGAGCAGTCCGTACGGATGGAATTTCAGACACGCTATAACAACGTGATGCTCCAGCTGAATGAGCGCGGGCTGAATTGCAGCCTGCTGCTGGGCAGCAAAGAAAGCAAAGAAAGTTTGGCAAGTATCAAGTGACTCTTGTGCTCAGAGGCCTTAAAAGGAAGGCATTCCTGTGCTGTTTGTATCAGGTATTGGGAGAACGATGACCCTCGGACGTCTGTGTCCATCGTGCCAACCAGTGCTCTCACTGGTGAGGGTGTGCCGGACTTGTTGTACATGATCCTCAAACTCACCCAAGACCTGATGGGGGGCAAGCTGGAGAGCAAGGAAGAGCTTGAGTGCACAGTGATTGAGGTCAAAAACATCGAGGGTTTGGGTACTACCATCGATGTGGTGCTGCTCAACGGCACCCTTCGCGAGGGTGACACGATTGTGCTGGCTGGCTTAGGTGGGCCGATTGTCACGACCATCCGAGCACTGCTGACGCCTCAACCGATGAAGGAGATGCGGGTCAAGCTTCTTGGCTTCAGTTTCTCGCAGCTCTGCGTGCGTCTTTGTCACCTCTTACTACAGTAGCATCAAGTTGACATGCGCAAAGGCTTCGACAACATTCGCTTTCGATGGTTCTAAAAGCACCAACCAAACACAAGCCCACTGTAGGCGAAGGCATGAGCAGCAAGAGAATGGGATCGCGAATGCGTGATCCAGCCAAGGAACGAATACGTCAAGCACGCACAGATCAGCACGTCCATGGGTGTGCCCTGGAGTGGAAATCTGCTTTCACTTGTCGGCTCCTGCAAGCTGCAGATTTTCAAAACAATGCCAGGTGTCCGAGAGCAGCTGGCATTTGCGCGTATTGCATGGATCTCAGGTGAAGATCTCAGCGCCAGGGCTCGAGGAGGCTGTGGCCGGTACCCAGCTACTCGTGGCTGGGCATGGAGTAAGGTCGAACATCCAGACCGCAGAGAATTCAAGGTCAAGACGGAAATTTCTTTAGAGAAAGAGCCCGCAAGCCTGAGGACGGCACGCCTTACCGGTTTGGCTGAGGTTTGTGGGCCAGACGACGATCTCGAGGAGCTGAAGGACGAAGCAAGCGAAGGTTTTGCCGCTCGGCTGTCTGGATCTTTTACCGTTACTCTTATTCTTATTCTTATTCTTATTCTTATTCTTATTCTTATTCCCATTCTTATTCCTATTCCTATTCCTATTCCCATTCCCATTCCTATTCCTATTCCTATTCCTATTCTTCTTCTTCTTATTCTTCTTCTTGCTATTACTGTATTCATTTGTTTTTATTCATTTTCTATTTTCTGATTTCTCTGTGCCCCTGCCAAGGAGAGCATCCTCAACGACTTCGCCAAGGAACCAGCAGGGGTCTACGTCAAGGTTGGAAACCGGGGACGTTGGGATGCTGCCGCACGTCAAGTATACGCTACGCGGCCCCCCCTGGCCTCTCTCCGGGTTCGGCAGACCACCCTGATCATCTTGGGAAGCCTTGAAAGTCAAAGCAGTTTAGAGGTTGAGCTTTATTTCCTGGCAATGGAAGATTCAGGGATTCCAGGGCCCCCCAGGTCCAAGGCGGCAAGGGAGGTGCCTGGCCCTGGGAGGAGGGTTTTCGGAGGTTGCACGTCCGCCCAGGAGCCGCACTGGTCCTAACTGATCTGCACCCCTTGAAGCATCTGAAAACCCTCATGCAGGGCCACGACGACGCTGTTGCCCCAACCTTTGTAAACCTCTCATGTCTGTGTTTTTTTACCTGAGTCTGAAGAGTTCCTCGACTGTTCAACGCGCCGCGGAGTCGACGCTTCGGACCGCGGGTGGTAAAAAGTATACAACCCTCATCTGCCAACATGTTGCCCTGGAGAGCCTGTGTTTGTCCAGCTACCGGGCTACTGGCGTTTACTTGCGGCTACTCACTCGCCTCTGCTTCGCAGGCCAGCACGCTCGGCTCACTGGAAGCGCTGCTGTCCTTCCTTCAGGACAGAGTCAGGGCTAAAGGGGCCTCAGCAGCGCCACGTGAATTGTGATGTCGAGTTCTTTGGCCTGTGAGCATGCTCAGCCTGCTCATGGGAGCTCCGTACGACGGTACTTGGTTAGGCGTCTCTGCGAGACGGAGCTTGGAGCTGCCTTGCCTGTGAGAGAGGGAGAGAGTGTTTGCAAGTGCCCTTGACATATTCGATGTCTGAGGACGATGAAAGGGGTACAGTGGGGGTTGCACGGGAATCCACCGCAACTCGTAGCCTGCCGTGCGTCTAGGACATGAAGATTCCCGTGTTTGACGTGGGAATCGGAGAAGTGCACAAGAAGGCGTCGGAACCTTCTGCCGTAGGTTTTCGACCTTTGTGATTGGAACCATCTGCTTGATCATACCTCTCTCAGCCCTGGGAAGGACGTCAAAAGAGCAACAATCATGAAGGAGAAGAAGCATCCAGAGTATGCGCTGATTCTGGCCTTTGATGTGAAGGTCAACCCAGACGCCCAAAAGCAAGCAGACACAGACGGTGTCACCATCTTTACTGCAGACATCATCTACCACCTGCAAGACAAGTTCACCAAATACATGGAGAAGTTCCGTGAGACCCAGAAGACGGAAACAAGGAAAGATGCTGTCTTCCCAGTGATTTTGCAGGTCGACAAGCAGCATATTTTCCGCAAGCAAGATCCGATCATCCTGGGGTGCCAGGTGTTAGCTGGCCAGTTGAGATCGGGCACCCCACTGTGTATACCTGACAAGGACGACTTGGCCATTGGGCATGTGGCCAGCATTGAGATCAACAAGAAAGGGGTGCCAAAGGCCCGCCGAGGTGACACCGTTTGTGTGAAGATTGAGCAGACGACGGCGCAGAACCACATCATGTATGGACGCCACTTTGACTTCAGCAACAAGATTTACTCGAAGATTACCCGCGAAAGCATTGACACGCTGAAAGAGCACTTCAAAGATGAGATGATCAAGGAGGACTGGGAGGCGGTCATTGGCATGAAAAAGATCTTCAACATCCAGTGAACCTTAGTGAACCTTAGCGAACCTGGTGCGAGAAAGAAGTGCGCCGCGTACAGACAACACTGGACCAGCTCTGGCACAGAGTGGGTCTAGATACTGGTGCACACTCAAAGCCAGTTGATTTCTGGATCTGGCCTCGTGGCGCTTGAAGAAGTCAGGGGGCTGGACCTTCGATTCTTGGATGTGTCAACTCCGTGTCAAGCTTCTCAATCCTTTCTGACAGCTGTGCCAGTAGCCCTGGTTGCAAGCGGGCCTGCAATGCGCGCCTCAGAGCTGTAACTCTTGCAATGTACAGAAAGAGCTGCAGAAAGTACGAAAACATGCAAAGACAGTTGTGACAGCCATTCTGCCTCTGGCCAGAGTGTGGCCCTATTCACAATCTGCTTTGCCACAGGTGCGGGTCTGCGAAAGAGGCGTTTATCCGTCCAGGCATCAAGCCAGCATTAGGCAAAGCAATCAGGGGAGCATAAGAAGGGGTTTGCAAGTGTGGGTCGCAGCTGAAGAGGGCCAATCTGATAGAGTCATTAGCGCGCCAGCGTGTGGGGGAGACTGGAATATAGGTGACTGTGAGATGGCACGTGACCTGCAGAAGCCTTAGCAGCATGCGGCTGGAGATGTCGCTGCAATGCTTCCGGCGGCAGATGCAATGCTTGCGACAAGAAGGCCACAACCAAACAACTTTGTCTGTGTGTCTGCGTGTGTTGCTTCGGGGGTGTGTGTGTGTGTGTGTGCGCGCGCGCGCGTGTTGCTTTCCCGGTTCAAGCTGCGTCTGTGCTGTCGTAGCGCAGGCATCCGATTATGGTGCCACAGATGGGTGGCATCTTGGCTTTGAAGCCCTGCAGATCAACCTGGGAATTCCTTTAAACTAGCTTGCCACTGATCTGCGGCACACCTCCAAACAATGGGATCCTCCTGCCGAGGACATGAACCTGATCCAACCTGCTCGAGAGATGACGCGCCAGCAAATGATTGTTTCTGCTACTTCTGCCTGCAGCTGGGGGGGAAAGCTCTTCTTGCATCCTCCGCGCCGAGATTGATAGCTCAACGCGGTGGGATGCGAGTAGCTGTTCCAGCTCGTTCCTTCAACGTACTGTGGCATTCTTTGCCCTCAAAGCCTCTACTTTCATTCGCATATCCATCAACCCGGCTTCTCGTCACAGACTTGTCGTCGCACCGAGTGAGGCTGGTGTGGGCTTTTGGGGAGGACTTTTCCCTGCTTCTAGGATGCAAGCTTTAATTGCGTGGCCTAGACAGTTGTATGTCAGAATGACCACGATAGGTCCCGGAATACGGGCCTCAGGTGCCACCCTGCACGATGCCGGCTACACTCTTCTGCATCACCATGTTGCTGAGCTGGAAATGTGGGGAATGTACGGCGCAGAGCGCAGAGCAAATCGCCCAAGTCTTGCCTTGATAAGGTATTCCGCCGGGGTGCCGCAGGTCCAGCGCTTCAGCTTGCCGCCGCCCAGCAGCGCACTATCATACAGCAGGTTAAATTCTGCAGATTTCCCAACGGCACATCTACACTGAGGCAAACCGAATGAATTGCAAAGATCATGACAGTGTCGGCCGGCCATAGGTGCCCCTCCAACCTCTCACATATTCACGCAAGCTCGCTTGGGAGGGACAAGTCGTGACAAATTTGGGCTGTGCTTTAGGGGGGATCCGCCGAGTTGCTTTTCCTGGGCCGAGTCCTGGGGTGGGGACTACTTATTAAGTGCACTCCAATGAAGGTGTCTTTGCGGGCCCAGGATGGCTAGCGTGGCAGTCATAATCAACGAGCTTTCCCTTCCTGCGGACCTTGCGATGATGCCTTGCTTTATCAAGCTGGGGCAAAGCGCTCCCTGGCTCTGATTGGACTCCACGAGTTCCAGGAGTGGCTGTTAAATAAACGTTTTTACGTGCGACTTATTTCGGCGGTCGGTTTTCGAATGTCAACGTCCCCTCTAATACATCTGCACATGCATCTGCACATTGGGGCTGGAATTGGCCCAGGCCTACCGAAGCCTCACTGGCCAAGATCTTGCCCCGCTGCTTGCCTTCCATTTCAGCGAATCTCAGACAGGGGAGACCGCAGCGCCATGGTAAGATGCAGCTTGTAAGCAAGACACGGTCTATACATACGTGTATTCTTATTCTTCTTACTATTTACTGTTGTTTTTTTGTTATTTGTCCCTCACTCTCTCTCTCTCCCTCTGTGGATACAATAAAATATATAACTACATGCTTCTCAAAGGCCTATACATTTTGGTGGTTTTTCACACTTGCATGAAAGGAAAGGAAGGACATGAGGGGCATGTGGTTCCGAGATCTTGTGTCCTGTGTCGGATTCCACCCTACATCCTCTGCAGTGCGACTCAGTCGGCTTTTCAAACCCTAAACAACTCACAAAGGGGTTCACCGTAAACCCTTCACCCCCGAAACCCCTCAACGTGGGTAGGCTAGGTGGGGGGGGGAAAGAGGCCGGAAACCCGGAACCCTAAAACTTTAAACGCCCGTAAGACTCTAAACAGCCCGGCAACCCCTAAGATCTTAAACCCGAGAGCCGAGAACCCTAAACCCCAAGCCCCACAAACCTAAACAGCCCAGAGAGGTGGAAAACAAAGGAACTTTAAACAACCCACAGGAGGGCCGGCGAACCCAAATCTCCGGACTCTGAACCTAAGCCGCCTCTCTAAGTCCTGAAAATCTTCAACAGGGCTGGTAGATCGCCCAAAAAACCCTGAAGCTCTGCCTGTGTGCAAGTGATTGCAAGTGTGAGCGTCTATGCCCAAAAAGCTCCTATCGTGATGTTAAGAGTAGTGCTGCCGGGCCACACTTGTGTGTACGGTGACAAAGATCAACATATCTCAACCTTGCGCGAACGCGCGGCGAGGCGCGGTGTGGTTATTTGATGGGAAGAGACCATGCCACATGTCTTATCACGTAGAAGATCATCATGGCATTGGCATTGTCCCCCCTCCTTCCCTGTGATGTGGTCGTGGTATGGCTGCGCACTCCCCTCCACCCTGCATTGTGTAGCCCTCTTCGTAGTATTTTAGACCGTGTGGTTGTGACGTGTGGGTGGTTGCGGTCGCGGGTTGGGTGTGGGGTTGTGGCTGAACTGCACACACATATCAACACAATGACACACATACGTGTATATACATATGTAGATGTACATGTTTTGTTCGCATACTTTTGAAGGACTTTCAACCTTGACTTGGCGAGGTGCAGCGAGGTGCTCAGAGACCTTCAGGCCACCGCACTTTGCATAGTTGCCAAGATGTTGCTGAAAGGATGAATATTGGTAGTCCCAAGTCCCGAGGTGCAGTGCCGAGTCGTGGCAGTAGTCGTGAATCCAGGTCCTGTTTTCTGCTTTGTTTGATGTGTGCGCGAACGTTTTGGAGGAGAGGCCCGTGGAGACACTTCGACACTTCAGCACGTCCTTCGGGCTTCTTGGCCAGACTCTGGAGCATGCAACATTAACGCCTGCCGCCCATATCACCAAAGAAAACAAACGCCAAATATTCTGCTGTCCAGTGGCTGAGAAGCTTGAGAGCGCCCTGCTCCAGCAGAGTGTTGTAGTTGCGTGATTTAGCATCCAGCTCAGTTAGTTACACCCAGCAACTTCGCAAATATGCCAGGCGACAGGGTCGACACTGATTCGTGTGCCTTATCACATTCACTCCAAGGCTTGGCATTGCTGTTTGGACGGCGATGACACCTCTGGTGCTAGGACGGCTGAAAGGGCTAGAAGCTGCAACAATTGTGCTGTTCATGCCATACCCTGGACTCTTGACATGCGGTCACTTTCCTAGCAGGGAAGATTCGCGTGTTTGGCGTCCTCTCCCGGCTTTGCTGAGTGCCACTCTGCACGTCGAGTCTTTGAAGCACACGCCCGATCAGCATGCAGTGGTTTGCCATTGTCCGGCTGGGTGCGAGAAAATCCCAACACAAGCCCCAGTTTAAGCAGTGCTAGTTGGCAGTTTTTGGATGGAAAGGGTTCGTTACTTTTCTTGGCATGGCCGTGGTAAGAGCCGCTGTTGGAGTGAAAAAGATACTCAGTCAGCAACCTGCTGGAAGGAGGCACCACTCAGATTTAAGACTTTAAGACGCCCAGCCGCCAGAGAAGCTTGTGACCAGAATTAAAAGAAACTGCCAGCAAGATCCAGCAAGGATTTCCAGCTTGTCTGTGCCGGACGTGTGCGTAGTAGTGTAGTATCCGTCTGCAACACGCCTGCAGCAACACCGTGGGGGAGTTCCGGCAGAGGGCGAGAGGCGAGCTCGGCAGTGCAGCCGCATGCTTGGCCACTCCTTTTTCCCACCAAACCCAGTCGTCCTTCAGTGTAGTTTGCACGCTGTGCGTCTAACCCGAACGGGTTCGACCATGATGGACAAGAAAGACTCCATTTATCAAGTCTTTGGATAGATATGGGAAAGGAGCTGGAAGTTGAGTAGCCCCCCACCTTTGCCTCATGTTGATCCTCCCGTGATTACCCATGCCACCCAAATCTGACAGGCTCCAGTTTCCATGTCTGGCTCAGGCTGCTGTCTCGATGCGGCGTCAAAAAGCTTTGAGACTGCATGCCTGCCTTCATGCTTGAAGGAGTGAGGCAATGTATCGAGAGGTTTTTCGGCTAGTGTGGCATCTCCTGTTTGTGACTGTTTGTGCACCATGCGATCGGCAACGTGGATGATGCGACGAGACTTGACATGAATGGACATACCAGTAGCGCTCCTCTGCACACATGCCATGCCTTAGTGCTTAGCTCTGCTTGCCGCCTTGTGTTGTTGGAAGCTGGGTGGTTGGTTTTTAGTAGGTGCAGAGTGCAGAGTTAGAAGTCTTACACCTACAGCTTAAATCGAGATGCAGGGGCAGCCATGGCAGCTCTGCCTGGATCCCTGTGCAACGACACTGCTTGACGTGGATGAGCTTTGAGCATGCAACGTGTTTGAGCTTATGCAAGGGATCCAATCTTTCCATGTTGCGTACGCTGTTACGCTGTTGTGTGTTCAGCAATCCCTTCACGACTGCGTTGCCTCGTGCATACAGGCACACTACGGCAGCGGACAGCTTGGACGATCACGCCCGAGAGCGAGCCTGACACGGTCGAGACGAGCCACGCAGCGCACGCGGCTTCGTGCACCAGTGGATGCTGTGGAGGCTGGGGGGAGCAAAGAAAACCATGGAAAAGTATCGAACACCTGTCAGCAAGCCACCAGGATCCACAGGGCTTCTTTGTAGCGTCCTTTTGAAGCCTGATCTGTCCTTTCGGACAGACAGCCAAAGGCCGATGATGGCTTCTTCAATACGGGCCTTCGTTTGCAGGCGGCAAGTCTCTGGACGGTGCGCGCTTGGCTGGCGTTGCAGCTGCTCTCGCTCGTCCTGCAATGGCACTTTTGGCAAGAGGTGAAGTCGAATTTGGATTTGTTTGATGAGACTCTGGCTGTGCACTGTGCGCCTGATTCCTCCCAGCATGGTGTTTGTTTTGGTCCAATCTGGAATATTTCCGCCTGGCATGAGTTCGTTCTGCACGGGAAGTTGGCCAGAGCTTGGCATGTGGATTTACCCCTTTCAGCTCACTTGCGAACACGTTTCGCAAGTGGCCACAGTGCCAGCATCGACTCGATCTCTGCCATTGACGCAGAGATTGCCCAGCTGCAACAGGAGACGGCCGAGCGCGTGAAGCAGCTGCGTGAGAGGCGTGCTGAGCTGGAGGTCCTTCAAGGGCTTGTGCCTTCAGGGCTCAACCACACAGTCACAGGTCGTGCCTTCAATTCGACCTATATCTTTGAGTTCGAAACTCGCTCCTCACCTCCCGTTTTCCTTCTCTCGTTGAACCCCATCGCGCGGTCACATCGTGTGGGGGAGCTTCCGCCCACTCTGGCTCCATCACACGATGAAGAAGGCAACGACCAGTGGCCATGGTCTCTGCACGTTCGAAGACTTGAGGCTTGGCGAGGAAATCAAACGCACCCCTTGTCTGGTCAGGACTAGCCCTTTACAATCCTGCACCACCCTGTACTTGCCGAGGAGCCAGCGCAAGCAACGTCCGACTTTCAGCGGTTCGGTTCAGGCGAGAAGGTGATCACAATCGAGGACCAATCAGTCGAGGCAGTTGCTGCCGTGCGCCAACACGGGCACGTCCGCTGGCAGGCGCGACAACGGAAGAGGTTGCAGAGTGTAGAACTCTGAGCTTTTCAAAGCCTCTGTGGATGTAGACCATCTGGCAGGTGATGGTGCAGAGCTCGGACTTATCGGGCAAGCAGACCCGCTTCGTGGTATTCGTCGAAGACTTCCAAGCGTCACATCTTGATGCTATCTATGCCAATTCCCAGTGCTCATTAACGAAAGCGTGGAAGGCCTTCAACAAGCAGCACCAAGGGCATCATCACTATGCTCTGGTGTGGTGCAGGACTCTGCTTGGAAACCTTCTCCCGCTAGGCATGCTGGCCACCTTTGCATCTTGAATGCACTTAGGGGCGTAATGCACTTAGGGGCATATGGTTTGATGCAATGCTGCAATGTCCTGCCAAGAGTTGGCTGCAGGCTGTGTATTCGCGTGCTTGGAATGATCAGCAAGATCCGCTCGAGCTTGATACGGATGTCAGCAAAGCAGTCTCGCACTTAGCCCCATCGCTAGTGGAAATATATCAGCATGTGCGCAATGCAAACCGCAGTAGCAGTTTGCTTCGAGGCACCAGCTGGCGACACCGGCAACTGCTGCCGCGGCTATGAGTTTCAGACTGTAATCCTCGTCAAGCTGGTCATCATGGATGTTCCGCAACAGGTGCTTGACTTGAGTGGCAACCATTGATTTTGAAGTGGCTGTGTACTGCACAAGGCAGACGGTGACCACACCTGACCCGTACAGTACACATACCCTTCGCAAGACAGAGCTAATGACATTGTCGTTGTCGACAACACATGTGTGTGGCGCAGCCTTGGTGCTGGTCTTGAAGTACCAGCTTGTTTAGGTGTGCATTGTGCTGTACCTCCTGGGATGGTATGCAACTTGGCCCGGAGGCTCATGCTCCACATAGTTCCACATGTCCTGGTTGTTTTGGAGAGGTTTGCAGGGCGTTGCCGTGCTCAGGAGCTGGAAGGGCTTCGTTGCCAGCTATGCCTCTTCCATCCACAGCACTGCGAGCCAGAGCATCCTTTCCGACTGGCCAACTCGGAGACTTTGCACAAGAGTACCCAACTCTTTGTTTCAGGGTGCTGGTTCTCAGCCGGTTTCTTCCTTTGAAGTCTGCTGGTGTGTGTGAACCTTGCAGTTAGGCGAGGGGCCCTGATCGAGGAAGACCCCCCTCACCTTTTTTCACCTCAATCAATGTTCATCTTCAACCTCACCCTCGTCATCGTCACAATCATCTCCTCCATCTTCTCCATCTCCTGACACCAATGCAGAGCTACACAGTTGCCGGCATCATATCTCCCGTCTCTGCCCTAGAGATTTCGATATGTCGTGCTTTCTGCTTTAGTCAGAATGTGCAGATTGCTATTCCGGTTCGGCCGAGGCTGCCTTCTTGTGCACACTTATGTCGTCGGCTGCTGGACTGAACCTGTGATGCCTGAGCATGCCTGAGCGAGATGAGAGAACGCATCCTTCCCCAGTAGGCTTTTGCCCTTGATCTTATTCCCTATGATAAGAGCTTCGTGGTGAGCTCTGAGCCGAGTGCGCGGGATGAATCGTAACCTGTCCTTGTCAACAAGGCAGGTGTGTGTGTGTGTGTATGTGTGTAATGTGTAATGTGTAATGTGTAATGTGTAATGTGTAATGTGTAATGTGTAATGTGTATGGGTATGGGTATGGGTATGTGTGTGTGTGTGTGTGTGTATGTGTGTCTGGCAGTCAGCATGTCCAGCTTGAAAAACACTAGTCAAGACACTGTACTACTTGACGTCTCCGTTCTTGTGGCAGAAGGTTGAATACCGTGCAGTCCCGCTGCGTGGCCCGTGAATTTTTTCCGAGGTGGCCAATCAGATTATCATTGGCCCCAGCCAAAAAGGCAAAACATCTGGCGAGCCGGGCTCTGAATGCTTTGTGCGGCTGCTCGTCAGGATGACTAGTCGAACTTCCGGTGCCACAATCTTCTGAAAGATCTTTTTGATGGATTGCAAGCATGCGGTCATGCACCATGTGCTTTTCAGCCTACACCCTTCGCCCATAGCAACCTACGTAGGAAGGGGTCTCTCCTTCTTGTTGGGTTCAGCGTACGGGTGTATACACGACATGGCTGCTGCTGCTGCTGCCTGTCAGGGCACGACTTATTTAACCCATTTGTGTGGCAGACTTCTTGCTGCTGCTGCTGCTGCCGCCAGTGCTGGTGAGTTTGAAAGAACCTTTTTTTTGGCCATATATATTTATAAACGATTGCAAGCTTTAAAGATTTAGGATTAAGGTTTAAGGGTTAAGGGCGAAGGGTTTGGAGTTTAGGAGTGCCTGAATCATGGATTCGCAAGGCTCTCGGACGTAGCCACGAGTGCTAGGATCTGAGAGTGTTGCTGAGACTTTCCGGCCAGGACATCATAACCCGATGCGAAGAAGGGTTCAGGCAAAAAGGGTTGAAGGTGTAGGGTTTATAGTGACTGCTTTAGTGATTTAGCCGATGCTTGTCTGAGGATTGGTCTGCTCTGCGCCGCTTGTCTTGGGCGTACACGGGAGGGAGGGAGTGAGAGGCTTCCCACACGCGACACGGGAAGCTTTAGAGATCCTTGGAGGGGGCTGTGGAGAGTTGGGATGGTTTACGCACGTTGTAAGTGTGTGGAGGGCTCCTTGCATTTGCAAGTCGACTGAGTTGTCTGGCTGGTCATGCAATCAGGGGATGCCCTCACCTGCCAGGTCGCCTGAAAAACATACATGTCGATCATCGACCGTCGATCGCAATTTCGTTTCATCTGAGGTCTCAGTGCTGCCGTTCACCACGGGCGTTTTTTGGGCCACCTCCGCCCTTCTTTGGACACCCATCCTCGCTCGGATACTCTTCTTCCTGCCGTGCGTCCTAGGCGCCTGGGAGAGATCCGGGTTGCGGATTCATAGTTTGAGACGGTGTGAGTGCTTTGCAGACCTGCTCAACAGGGTTTTCTAATCAGCCCTTCCTTTCGTGCTTTCATTTTGTGCAGGCTGGTTCTGTGTCCTTGCACCTCGGATGCAATTTTCGTCGGGGCAATATCAGGGGATGATGTGCGACATCCCAGGCGACTGTCCTGTCTTGCCTCGTGGCCTGCTGTGCGGAAGCGCCGCGAGCCAAGTTGACATGCACTTTGTGGCAAGGGCATCGTTCGGGTAGGTGGCTTCCGACCCTACACAACAAGTGCTTAAGGTGATGCTGCTGACAGAGACCTTTGAAAGGGACAAAGTTGCCCTCCATCTCCGAAAGCAGAGTCCCTTTGCGTGGCAAGAGCAGCATCGCGAGGTATCTTGCTCTGGGCTGTCGGCTATTCAGTCAGTCGTGTGTCCTTGGCCAAAGAAAGCATGACCTGCCGCCTGCCGTTGCAGTTTTTTGGCCCAACGCTGCAAAGCAGCAGAGCTGAAAATCTTGATTCCCTAACTTGGCCACCAAAGCTTGCTTTTGGGCAGACTTCACATGAGCGGGGCACTCAGCAACTACAAAATTGGTATAGGCCCACCTGTACGGGGGTGTTTGGTGTTCTGTCTGCCCTAGTGATGCTTGCGCTTGTTGCTGTCTAGTCCGCGGCATCTATAACGTTCCTCCCTTACATGGTGTTCCCTGACATCTGGGAAGTGCAAGGAGTGCAGACTATCGGCTGCCATTTTTATTCTGAGGTGAATCATTCGCCCCTGACCCCACCTTCCAGGGCGAGTCTGCCTTGGGGAGCGTGCAGGTGCAGGAGCGACTCTAGCTGGAACGGCTATTGGTGGCAAGGCAGATGTGTGAAGTCTAGTGCTTGAAATTGCTTGAAGTACGGCTTCTCTGGGGACTTTTGCGAAACTCCTGATTTGATTGTGTCGATCTGGTTGCCGTAGGATTGGCGGAAGCCGTTCAAGTGGCTTCGGGCGAAGGAGCTGCACAAGACACTTGTGCCGCACAGAGGAAGCAGCCGTTGCGTGTGACAGTAAAAGCTCTCGCTTCCAAGATTCCAAGGGATGCCAAGCTCTTCTCCGTCATCCAGGCCCCTGGTACCGTGGCACCGTGGCACCCGTGGCACGTGCAAGTCGCAAGCTCCGCGCAAGTACCAGGACTGCAAGATACTGCACAGCTGACACCTTGTGCATCCGCTTGCCAGGCGGACAACATTGTACAGGGCGAGCTGGGTGATTGCTGGCTTCTGGCGGCGATGGCTGCAGGATCCTAAAAATGCAGCTTGTACACTTCAAAACCGCATGTTTTTGCAGTTGCTCTGGCGGTGGCTTGGAACTCTTGCAGCAGTTGAGGTCTTTGCAGACTTTCCGGGTCACATCATGAACCTTTTTGCAGCTCGAAAGATCTTGGAAGTCAAAGGTTGCGCAGTGCGGCTTGTTGACTCAGATTCGGTCGAGCTTTCGGTTTTCCAGAGGGCACAACACGTAGCACGGGTTTGTGATGAGCAGCGCGTCTCTCACACGAGATGCAAGAGCTGGCGAGTGGCCGTACCCTGACATCTGAGGATGACATCAATTTAAAAGAGTCTGGTCGAAGCTTGGTCGCTACAATCCCTCCCTCCATTCTCGCCCATTGACATATGATCACGATATGAGCAGGATGAGCTTGGATGGGAATCAGAAGAACCGGCCGAGGATATGTCATCAGGCTTTGGGATATCAAAGGCGGAGGCGAGTGGCAGGACCAAAGTCTTCTCAGGGAACTGGAAATGAACGCAGAATGTTAACCCATGCATCCTCAGGCGTTCATATTTGGTCGTCACTTCTCGCAGGACGTCGAGATCGATGACTTGATCCCGTGTGACAAGTACGGCAAGCCTTTGTTCGCCCAGTTAGAGGGCGAGAGCGGCTCGCCGACATTTGTACATGCCAAGCACATTCTCTAAGCACATTCTCCAAGCACATTCTCCGATCCGGCTGAGGTGGCAGCATGTGGGTGTTGTTCTCGGATTTGTCAGCTGAAATCCGATTGTTCACGCCCACGAATGCTGTCTCTGTTGCATTGCAGCCCCCGCCCAGGCGCTGCTGCTTGAAAAGGCTTTCGCCAAGCCACAAATCCGCATTAGCAAGCTCTGTTTCAGGTGTCGTTGGTCACGCCTCGTGCCGTGAGAAGGTTGCGCACACTTGGGGAAATCAAGCATGGTCGGACAGCACGTTTGTGAGTGGAGGGCTTTGCAGCACCAGCAAGCTACTCTCCGCCATATTCTTCTTATCCCACATCCCAGACACGTACCCGCAACAGTCTTGCAAGGTTCGTGGGTAACTATGAGAAGCTCGTCGGGGGGAGCACCGGCTGGGCTTGGCAGGCCCAGGGATTCAGGGATTGGGCCTTTCGAGGCTGGTTTTGGCAAGGGTGCTTCAGGGATTGGCGGGCACACATGGGCCCACATGGGCACAAGTGGGGACAGGGGCTTCTTCACTGGAGATGCCAGCAAGTTAGGTGCTCACGGGGCAACCCTGGATGGCCCGCTGGACACGCGACGAGGGCAAGAAGTGGACACGCTGCATAGCTTGAAGACAGTCTGGAAGGATGTGCCAATTGCCAAGCATTCTAGGCCAGTGCTGGTGTTGGCAAGTTGGCTTCTTCTCTTCGCATCCGTCTGTTTTGGCACTTCGACACGTACTTGTAAGAATGGTGGAGAGAATGCACTGCAATCGAAGGCTGGGAGATGTGCGACATCCAGGAGCTCTGGAATGCGGGATTCGGGGCGAGGTTGAATTCAGGGAACTTCAATGTCAATAGCCAGTACTGCACACGAGAAGTCAACAGCATCTAGGAGATACTTGTAGCAATCACTCAAACCCCTTGCCCCTGCACAGAAGTGTTTTGGGAAAGACGCGGAGAACCTGGCCGCTGCTGCCAGATGGCGTGGTAGCCTCGGGAACAAGTTGATGAGAAGTTGTGTGCTGGCATCCAATTGTTTTGGGCCCCTGATGTTCCTGCACGCGTGACAACTCCTGGTTATCGTTTTTGTGCCGCCCTCATAAGTAGCGGTTGGCTTAGTGCTTCTTGGTTTCATTCCGTTACCTAATCTTCTTGTCGCTCCTGTTGCTAGGAGCTTCTCAGGAACGTGCATGAGGCCCCTGGTTGTTTTGTATGTTGTCTTTTTCTTTTTTGGTCTAGGGTGTCCTATTTACATACAGACGAAACAGCGGCTTCCTCTTAAGCTACAAGGAAATAGATCGGTTTGAAAATAGAGGTTTTCTAACAAAAGCACAGAGGACATGGAGGTGTTCCTAATACAGCACCGCTAAATAGCGGTTTGGAACGACGGAAAGACAGAACTGAAAGAAAGAAATAAAGAAAAAAGGAAAGAAAGAAAGAAAGCAAGAAAGAAGGACAGAGAAGGAAACAAGAAGAGAATATTAATACGTAGAAAGAACGATAGAAAGCAGGAAAAAAGAACGACTAAAATGCACCTTATGCAAAGAAAACCACAAATGTCAAGCCCGGCAAGCAAGCTTAAGAAGAATATCATGTCAAGAGGACATGTGTTAAGGAAGCATGCACAAACTCTTCCAAACCCGTCATGCGAGGATTGGGGAGGCCCGCAGTTTTTCCCTCACTTACCTAGAGGCTAGAAGCTAGAGGAGCCAGCGCTGTTGCAAAATGGACATTCTGCAATGACCTGGCGATACGGTGTCCCAGAGTCTGCTCAGGCTCCGACGGCATGCGCGGCGGACGATGGAAGGGGCCCGTCGAGACATCAGATGATGATGGCATGTTTCAGGCAGCCAGTGCTTTGTGTGGTAGTTCGTGTCGACAGGCCTCACGTGCATGACAAATTTGAGATGTTGACGGGCATGGTACATTTCGGTACATTAAATGGTCAACCCACTGTGATGATTCAGGCCAGTCATGGACCATGTACTTGCAAAACGGTCTAGACATGCTCAAAGGTTCCTCTGTGTTGTCCAGCTCCAGGCGCTTGCTTCCTACACCCAGGCTTGCTTCGTCCGGACGCTTGGGAAGTAGCAAAGCGCAGAAGGAATTCACGAAGTGCAGAATTTATATCCGAGTATTGGGCTGAAGAAGCCTTCAGAAACACCGAACCTCATGCAATCATCTGCGCTGCAAGCGTTTCACTGTGCCACAGCCCGTTTGCTGAGCTTCCTGCGGGGGCCAAGGCTATCAGCTGCTCCATTGGCCAAGGGGATCGTGCCGAGGTGCCCCAAATTCTGTATGGGTGTTCGACCTGTCTGACGTTCCATGGTCTTCATCATGTCTTCCCCCCTCTGTATTCCATTTGTATCCGCCAGTAGCTAGATGTGGAGCCGTGCTTCGATCCTGTCCGGGTATTTCGGAGGAGCGACGTCCTGACGGCCTGCTTGCCAAGCACGCGTACTCGGTGCTTCAGGCCTGGAGCATTTTTACGAAGCTGCTGCCCTTGAACTCTTGAACTCACCAGCGCAATTTAAGCTGCATTCGGGCCTTCTGGCTTGCATGGCTTGCGTGCAATTTGCGGAGCAAACGAATGAATCCCGGCCTCAGGTGCTTTGTGCTCACGGCCAGCGGCTCGTCCAGGCCTTGTTTCACTTTCAAAAGCTATCTGGTAGGATGTGCGGGCGACGTAGGCCATGTACAGACAAGGATTTCGTACCTGCAAGCCCGGGTCCGAAGATCCGTGTGCCACGATGCCCAGAGGTGCGCAACCCGTGGGGCAGTGGCGGCGAATGGAACAGGGCCTGGTCGGACAAGAGTGCGGAGTGGGAGAGGCATCCCCAGCGCCCCGGCTGATAAGAATGCAGTGTGTTTGCCGAGCCATCTGCTCTTTCTTGTGCGCCCTGAGGATCAGCGAGGACTTGAAGGTGGTCGATGCGGACGTTCGCTGCTCAGGTTTTTTGCTTCAATTCTCGAGAGCCCTCGCTTCTAGGATTTGTTCAGGATGGACGATTCTGGATGCCATGGGAAGCTTGACCGCAAGATATGGCAAGAATAGCGTTGTGCCCTTGGCAAAGATGCTTTGTTGATGCGTCTTGCCCGTGCTCTGCATGTTGAAGTGTTCATATTTGCGAAGCCTCCCCTGCCAAGGATGCTTTTGCCGAGATCTTCGGGGGGCACATTATGGCGGCTGCGCAGAATTTACAAATTGAGCTCAAAGTTCAGTGGAGCACCGCCCTTCGCATCGTTCGCTGTCTGCCGCACTGGGCTTTCTGCTCCAGGTTTGTCCTGTCACACTGCCGTGCCCCATGAACTCGCAGATTGTCGCCGACAAAGCCAGCGGCAGCAGGAGGGGCTTGCTGAATGCAGCCGCCTTCGCTTCTAGTTTGCACGCAAGTTGTAAAGACGCCACACGCAGACGCAGGATGCGATGCCCTCAGTGCAGACAGAGCCGCGCTCAGTGCATGGAGGGAGCTATTCAGCAAGCTGCCGTTTAGCCGCGTTCGCGCCTTGAGAAGAAGTGCCACAGGCTTTTACAAGTTCGGAGACGCCCGAGGCCCTACACCCGGAGCTGGGTGTTGCTGGCCAGCGAAGAGTCCAAAGGTGACGGCCAGTGGGCACGCCTGGCAGACGGCAAGAACCTTTGCACCATGTCCGCGATTCAGAGCTGTGAAATTGCCGCCGCAGCCTGTCCTCAACCTCCCGCCAGGGTAGCGCAGTAGTCAACCTCTGCCAAGTCTGCAGAGAATCCCGGCCAGGCTTCCTCTGTCTCCGGGCGACCTGCCGAGCCAGCGAGCGATTTCTGAAGGGCACCCTGGCCTCGGTGGCAAATCGTGTCCTCGACAACATGTTAACCTTGTTGCAGTATACGACTCTTGGTCTGTGTGCTCGCAGTGGAACCTTGGCCCTCCCAAGACAATGGCCCTCGACTCTAGAATCGAGACTACTACCCTCTTATGCATCACGATCTGGACAAACCGGAAGTTTCTGAGCCTCACGTTCAGAGCCGAAAGCTGCGGCCCAACGTGACAATATTCAAGGAAGCACCGATGTCAGGCTTAAAAGTAGCTGGACTTCACGAGCAGCCGAAGCTCACGCTGGCCCCACCGAAAGGCGGGCCACTTGATGCACAAAGCTTTTGCATTCGGGTTCAGCACAGAGGCGTCAGGGAGAATGGCGATAAAATGTGTCCATTGGTATACTTGTGTTCTCTGCCCAGGGAGTTGCCAGTTTTCATGATTATGTAGCTTGCCAATCCTCAGTATCTGGATTTCTCACCAGATAATCTGTCAACACGAAGGGATTCCAATGTACCCGCCCGCCGGCGCACACGACCCGTCCTCGCCGTCCTCGAGCCCGCCGTCCCTTTTTTAAATCTCGGTTCGCGGCATGCGACACAGTCGTTGCCTTTGGGCGTCTAGGTTCGCGAAATGCAAATCTGTCATCGCTTTTGGACGTTTGAGTTCGCGAAATGCGAAAATCTGCTTTTGGTTTGGACGTTTGAGCTCTTTCTTGTCACCACGATCTCTCAACTTTTCTGTTCCCAGCAGTAGATTTGCGTTTTCCTATGCTGTGAGACACCGCCGCTGCAAATTCTGTCGTTTGGAACAATATTTGGAATGCTGTGGGTTTCGATCCGCTGCTGGGACAACTGGTCGGGCACATCGTTTTATTTGTGAAGGTCTCGTGTCTGGGGGTGGTGGTTGGGATGTTCCCCCTTATACTATCAGTCCTTAATAGGGATTATAGTACCCCATACTATAGTCCCTATTGAGGACTGTTAGTGTAAGGGGGAACATCCCAAGGTGGTGGGGCACCTTCCTGCAGCATGCCCGTCCCAAAAATGCTATCATCGTGTGCCAAGATCAAGACGCTGGATCCCGGCTGTGTCTCGCGTGGAAAGCTTGTTAGGACAGCTCCTGTACTTGTTGCTTGGGCGCGTGGCGTGAGCTTGCTGACAAAAGAAGCTGTGTGGACCAATGCCTTGGCACGGTGCGACAAGCCACAGAGTTTTCTGCAGGCCCACGAAGAATGAAGGCCACTTGCCTGAGATGCGAAGCAGTCCTGCTAGCTGCATAACAGGGCAAGCACTTTTTGCTTCTTCGCTAGATCAAGTTATGCTGGTGAGCAGGCCCGAGCGGTTTCAGAAGTCTTCTGGATTATTGCGGATAGGATTTGGCAGCCAGGGGCTGGGGGTCCCCAACCTGGTCTCAGGAATGCGAGCATGGAGCAGAATGCTACCGCCAGAGCCCCAATTGCGAGGAGTCTAGGATACAAAGAAAGGGACGAAAGGGCGCCATTGGCGCCATGCCGAATTCAGGCTCGGTGCATACATTCTTCAGAGCCTTTTCAGCTTCCCGAAGCTCCGTCTTTCAGATGGTTTTGGCTCGGTCCAAGGAAGCTTTGGCTCTTGGGCTTGCCTTTGACCTTGCTGTGCAAGGTAGGTGCTGACACGCACCCTCTCCTCGCAAGTAGTTGAATCGCACAGGAAGTCGCCTGATGGTTCTGTGTTCCTCCCGCATATTTTTGAGCGAAGCAAGCAGTGGTGTCCAAGCATGCCTCGCAAATTGGGCTTCCCGACCACCTCGGGAGTCTGCTTGGTGTGGCCAAGAACTCGATCTCGGCTGAAACCATGCCAACAGTTTTGCCCAAAACAGAACCCTTGGAAACTGCAATTCCAATCAGCCACTTCAGCCACTTCCCATGGGGCGCTCTATACCAAAGGCTTGGTTCCATTTGGTCTTGCAGACAAGCAAGGAAAAGTGTGCATGTGTGTGTGTGCGCGCGCACCAGTTCCGAGACACCTGCCTCCTGCCTGTTACGCTCAGGCCGCAACCCGCAGCACTTCCACGAGCGCTTCCATCCCAGCCTGCACCTGCGTGGCAATGGCTGATTTTCTGAAGTTTTCGGAACTTTCTCGAAACAGACGCTCCACCAAGTCACCAGCAGTAGCTGTGCATGCGTAAATGGTCAGCGAGGTAGGTCTCGCGTGTGGCATTCCTAAGGCTGCCACCTGCGCCTGCCTGCGCCAGTGGTTGTGGGCGTTCGGCAGCCTCTGGCTACAAGACCTCGTGCGAGCATGTGCGATGACACTTTGAGGCCTCGTGCACCGCTGCCTGCCAGCAGGACTTGTTGTCCGAAGTGCACGAGCTCTCCTCCAGATCTCAAGGTGCACATTCCATCCAGGCGCTAGGGGTGAAACATGCACCTGAATCAGGTACCAGTACTGGGTCAGAATATGTGAGGAGACCCCGTGTGTTGGACATTGCTTTCATTCTAAGAGCTGAGATGCTGGCAACAAAGCAACACCCTACTAGGCACAAAGGCCTGGGAGGAATCTACAAAGCCGTGGACAGGCTATGTGCGGGACCAGTCTTCTCGAGTTCCTTTCTCCAGGATGTGCTTAATTTGCTGTGAGCAGTTTTGGGATGGAGGGTTTTTTTCGTTTTTTGTCAGCTGTTCTTCTGCAGTTCTTGTTGCTCGGGGCTTCTGTCCGGCCGATTCGTCCTGGTAACTGAAGGCCAAAAGGCAAAGGGCCGCCAGTCTGGCGCCAGTGTGATGGGTCAAGACCTGAGCTGTCTGGCAAGATGCTGCATGCCAGCACGAGTGCAGCATCAATCAGGAAAGGTTGGCTGTGGAAGGCTGGACGGCAGCTCCCATCATTAATTAGCAACCATCAGCTCCCTCTGTTCTCTCATGATAATGGACATGGCTCGGAGTGCTCGATAGTCATGGGTTGGGGTGACTGTGTGCGAAGCGTGGGCAAGCACGTGCAAGCACATGCGACTCTTCATGGCCGACCTGTGAAAGGGGCACGTCTGGATGATGGGTGATCAAGAAGAGAAAGTCGGCGGAGCATCCGGCCTCATCGCTGAGGACGCATGTACAAGTGTGCTTGTTATCAGAGGTTGATATGCGAAAAACACCCAAGAAACCTGTTCCCTCCAGCAATTTCAAGAAAAAGAAACTCAAAGCTTCAAGGATGTCGGCGATGGGATGTCAGCTCGGTCACCTCATCTAGCACGCGGCTGGCAGGCAGTATCCAAGCTTGATTCTGAGCGTTGCAGGTTCCTGTCCCTCTTGGTGGGAACGTTTGATGAGTATAGACTGTCGGAGGTTGCAGGCGAAAGTGGCTGGACAGCAGCTCCTGAGCTCAAGGCATCCGCGGGACTTCATGCTTTCAAGATCGCAGCCTTGAATTCCTGTTCCGTTTATGGCTCGTGCAACCTGTGTTTTAGCTCTTGTTGCAGACACCTCGAGGGAATGAGGCACATCGAACAGTTCATTACAGCGACATTCGAGAAAGTACTGTTCCTTTCGTTGTTCCAGCACGGTTGTGGTTGCGACCCTGGCCTTCCGCAGTGGCTGCAGAATGCTGCCGGGGGTGATGTCGGATGGCATGCTTGGACTCATATGGGGCCATGTGGGGCCAGTGTGACAGGTGGAAGTGGACGCAAAGCACGTCTCCTCTGATCACGTGCTTTGCTCAGATGATGAAGTGTAATGTTGACGGAGACCCCCTGTGGCGGAGATTTGTGCGACTTACTCGTGCGAGGCATGTGTTAGCGCGTGTATCTTCAGGATACTCCATGCGACGAGCGCGATGCTCGGGAACAGGCAGGGCAAGAGAAAACGATAAGCCAGGGTAACTAACCTGTGTCAGCATTCAAACTCCCACCTGTCAGTTGTTACGAGAGCGAGCAGACAAAGTGCTTGCAAGATGGGCACGTCGGGCACTTGGCTGAACCAGTATGAAGCATTCATTGCGGCGCAGCCCAGCTGCTGAGGATGACCTGTTTGCCTACTGCCCGCGGCTTTGGGCCTTGGCCGACGTCCTCCCGAAACACGCGTGCTGAGTGCCGGGAGCATTCTTTGGGTGGCTCGAATGCCAAAGGTAGCCCGTCTTTGTTCAAATCAGAGAAGCGGCTCTGGCAACCGTAGCTGTGGTTTTAAAAGTTCGCCCTATCGGTCGATGGAGAGATGCTGTCGTCCTTGTTGCTTCGAGTAGAGATGTGTTGAAACTCTGACGTGGTGTCATGTGTGTGCGTGTGTGGCTCCAGGTGACGTCTTCGTGTGCATCGCTTTCTGTGTACTCGTAGCAGTTTTAGCTTGTAGCCATGGCGCCTGTGATGCTTCACATCTACCATGTGTCCACGAACAGCACTGTGGGCGCCGTGAATGAGTACTTGGAGGCCATCGGAACAGGTGCCTTCCATGCGGGAGTGGAGGTCAGAACAGAGGCCAACGGCGCCATGGAGTACAGCTATGGCTATGCTCCCGACCGTACAGGGGTTTTCACGAACAAGCCCAAAGAGTGCAAGGCCCACATATACAAGGAGTCCTTGGAAATGGGTGACACGACCAAGACAGACTCCGAGATCGACGAAATCATTGAGCAGTTGAAGGAGTCGCACCCCTGTTTTGTTTTTCTTAAAGTATCCTGTGCTGCTAGCTATCGGTAATCACGTGAGGCATTTCTTGTGTTCACATGTAGGTGCTCGTCTTTCTGGCCAAGAAGCTAACTCAGCAATGTTGTGTGACCCGATCGTGGGTTACTGTGTCAGCGTTCTTACTGCTTCCATCAACAAACAAAACATGCTCAGATAGTGGACTAAACGGACACGTGCACATGTATATATACATATATATATATAGAGACATGTATACATATATATATATACACATACTTATATATGTAAACTCAGAGGCACACACTGAGAGACAAAGAGACACAGAGGCACGGAGACACAGAGACACAGAGAGACAGAGACACAGAGACACAGAGTCACAGAGTCACAGAGACACAGGGGCACAGAGACACAGAGACACAGAGACACAGCGACACAGAGACACAGAGACACAGAGACGCAGAGACGCAGAGACACAGAGACACAGAGACGCAGAGACGCAGAGACGCAGAGACGCAGAGACACAGAGACACAGAGACACAGAGACGCAGAGACGCAGAGACGCAGAGACGCAGAGACGCAGAGACGCAGAGACGCAGAGACGCAGAGACGCAGAGACGCAGAGACGCAGAGACGCAGAGACGCAGAGACGCAGAGACGCAGAGACGCAGAGACGCAGAGACGCAGAGACGCAGAGACGCAGAGACGCAGAGACGCAGAGACGCAGAGACGCAGAGACGCAGAGACGCAGAGACGCAGAGACGCAGAGACGCAGAGACGCAGAGACGCAGAGACGCAGAGACGCAGAGACGCAGAGACGCAGAGACGCAGAGACGCAGAGACGCAGAGACGCAGAGACGCAGAGACGCAGAGACGCAGAGACGCAGAGACGCAGAGACGCAGAGACGCAGAGACGCAGAGACGCAGAGACGCAGAGACGCAGAGACGCAGAGACGCAGAGACGCAGAGACGCAGAGACGCAGAGACGCAGAGACGCAGAGACGCAGAGACGCAGAGACGCAGAGACGCAGAGCACGCAGAGACGCAGAGACGCAGAGACGCAGAGACGCAGAGACGCAGAGACGCAGAGACGCAGAGACGCAGAGACGCAGAGACGCAGAGACGCAGAGACGCAGAGACGCAGAGACGCAGAGACGCAGAGACGCAGAGACGCAGAGATGCAGAGACGTAGAGACGCAGAGACACAGAGACGCAGAGACGCAGAGACGCAGAGACGCAGAGACGCAGAGACGCAGAGACGCAGAGACGCAGAGATGTACAGACGCAGAGACGCAGAGACGCAGAGACGCAGAGATGCAGAGACGCAGAGACGCAGAGACGCAGCCATCTCAAGCCTCAGCTATCGGTTGTCGGTTGTACATTTTTGATGTTATCTCCTCTTGCACCTTTGTTGTTCCTCACATTACAGAAAACGCCCATGTGCGAAGCATTGGCAGTCATAGAGATTAGGCAAGGGACCTGCAAATCGAGTATTCTCACAACAACCTTCTCACTGCTGGGTGGTTCTGGGAAAAGATTGGGGGCTCAATGACTTCCCTTGCGAAGCAAGACCCTCGGGGATGGCGCGGCAGAGAGAGAGAAGCGACTTCCAAAGCCACCTTTGCACGTATTCAATTGACGTGTTGGCTGTGCGAATCCTCATAAGCACCGGGGCACCACATCCTGAACACCAAAAGGGGTGGTAGGTTGGAGGGCGTAACATGTGAAACGCATGTGCTATGTATATTACCAAACGTGACGGGCCTGACTGTGTTCTTGGATTCGTGAATCCGATCAGCACGCCCCGCCCATGTCGGGGATCCCCTCCCATTCACGCCCACAGACAAAGGGGAGACTACAAACCGCTTCCAGGAAGACTGGCCTGGCTTTGAATACGACCTGCTGCGCCGCAACTGCTGCCTCTTCAGCAAGGAGCTCGTGGAGAAGCTCGGTGTTGGCCCAGTGCCCACCTGGGCTGCTCGGACAACAGCTGGTTCCTAAATGACTGATGTTCTTATTTTATACCAGCATAGCAACGAGCGTGATCGATAAGATCTGCCCGAGCTCTGGGCATCTCTCTGTGACGGTCCAAAGCAGGTGACGAACCTGGCTGCAGCCGGGGCTACGCTGCATGATGGCATCCTGAAAGGCAGCGCTGTCCCTGCTCTGCCAAGCACATGCTTCAGACACGAGAAGCCTCGCTCTGCCCAGCCTTGAGGCAAGGAGATCGCCGACAAAGCCGCTGTGATGGCAAGGGCCAAGGCAACTCTAGCAACTCTAGTACTTTGAACCCCCTGTGTGTATTGCTCCAAGTGCAAGCCCCATCCTTGCAAACGCCGGCTTAGGAGTAGCTTGTGCAGGCCGGAGAAATCGATGCGAAGTACAACATCAGTGGCAAGGTGTCGGCGGGCGCCAAGGACCGACACCACTGGCATGTGCTGTCGCTGATCCAAAGGCCAGCAATGGCCAGCACATGTGTGTGCCACAAGCCACCAGCTTTGGGGTTGCGCTGCTCAGCTTGATTGACTGTGAAGGAAGTGATGCTGGCAGCCGGACGTTTCGACGAGGAGTACAAGGTTCGAGAGAAGGCTTTTGCGGCAGCTGCTGCTCGGATTCAATTGGCCGACCCAGTGCCTTGAGCTTGCACTCTTTCAAACGTAACCGGTGACGTGTGTGATGGTTCGTCCAACTTCTGCCACAAAGTTCCGGGACGAAGCCATGAACTTCATTACTGTATGGTGCGCTGGTGACACAATGGAATGATCTCGGTCTCAGGTTGCTGTGAAGGCGAAAGCTGGAGAGCTCCACCAGGCTGCACTTGGAACACTTCGGGGCTTTGGGTTGAGATGTGTTTGACCAGTTCCGGAGCCACCCCTGCCACCTGTTTCCCTTCTTTTGTTTCCCGTCATGCCTGGAGACGGATTGACGGGCATCATGATGTTCTTCAAATTCCTAAATCTCGATGAGCCGTGGCGAGGCAGCGAAGGACAAGGCTGCCGAGATTCACAAGGCCAATGGGCGTCTATTGCCAGAATGAGCCTTCAAGCCCTCAGGGGCAGAGAGCAACTCCCTGCGTTTGACAGTGCTTGTAATCCCCTGTTAAACCCCCTGCCCCCTAATATTAGATATCCCCCCATTATGGTGTTCTTGGGGGGGTTTAATAATAGGGGGGGGGGGATTTCTTGGCTGGCGTGAGGATGCGGACGCGGATGGCGATGGCAAAGTCAGCGCCGAGGAGATGACACCTGGCGGGAGTGGACTTAGACCTGACTTTCTTCTATAAATATACAAATACAAATATTTCATATGTATATATATAGATACATATATACATATATACATATATGCATTTATGCATATATGCATGTATACGTACATATATACATATATACATATATACATATATACATATATACATATATACATATATACATATATACATATATACATATATACATAGATACATGTATACATGTATACATATATACATATATACATATATACATATATACATATATACATATATACATATATACATATATACATATATACATATATACATATATTCATATATACATATATACATATATACATATATACATATATACATATATACATATATACATATATACATATATACATATATACATATATACATATATACATACACACATATATACATATATACATACACACATATATACATACACACATGTATACATACACATATACATACACACATATATATATATATATCTATGTATATATATATATATATATATATATATATATACCCACAGAGTGCAAAGCAGCTGCATGCGGTCATAAGGAAGCTTTACTTGAAAGAGCAACTCCGCACCTCCCACGAGAAGGCCATGCAGGTGGGACGTTTTTTTTTGTTTTTTTTTCAGAAGTTGACATCATCCCCAAGCGGTGGTTTAGATGTTACAAGGACAGTAAATGACCCCATACATACATGAGTGGACGTACAGTTCAGCTAAGCGGGCGGCAAAGAATAATGTGCATATATATATATATATATTATGCTAAATATGTACATGTAGTATCATCGAAGTCTAAAGTACATAGACATATGCACTTATGATTTGGAATGCTGCCTTGTCTGCTCAAGGCAGCAAGGGACCTGCACGCGAGTGTGGACAAGGATGGAGATGGGAAGATCACCTTCGAAGAAGCGACGCTTGATCGGCGCCAATAAGAGCAGGGGTTTGCATGTGTTTGAGCGTACTGGAGGTTGGTGAAGACTTGCATGCTCAAAAGGACAGAGAGTGGCAATAGGGATGTGTGCAGCGCGCAGCGCTGCAGTGCTATGCAGCATCCCGGACACTCAGGAAGACATTTGCGACAGAGAGGGCTGGAGCCTGCGGCTGCGAGGCATGCACAGTGCAGTGAGACGCCTTCAGATTGCGAGGGCTTCTGGCTAGGATGGTTGCAGTCTTCATTTCGAAGACAGATGGAGCAATGCGACCGTCCGTTGTAGAAGCTCAGACCCGCTCTTGAGCAACGGATTGCAGGAGGGGTGCGAAGGACCCCAGTGGGCAGTAAGCTCCCGGGGCGGCAATTCCTAAACTAGAGCCCTGACAAAGGATAATTGCTCTAGAATACAAAGGCCACTCCTGGGAATCTGTTTCGAGTGCACGAGACCGGGGCACAAACGCCCTGCATGCCCAGTAGTTTGAAACCTCAACTTGCTTTTCCTGCCGTAGTCATGCGACGTTTGCCGAGGCATACGGATGTTCCCCTGCATCTCGATAAGAGCTAACATGATAACTAGTGAAGAAGTGTAATGTTGGGTAGAGGGCGATTGAAGCAGAATCTGCCGGTGGATTTCTGAGTATTGATGGGGACATATGTGTTTGCGGCCGCACCACTTCATGTCTACGCACTGGACATCATTGGTCATCATGACATCATGAGCCGAGTTTTAAAAAAGACGTGAGCGGATGACATTAAGCCCCAGGCATCTGTAAGCGTGGAAGCCGCGGAGGCGAGAGGTCTCGCCCATTGGCCATGTCGTACGGGATCTAGGCATTGCTGCACGATGACATTCTGCAAGCCATTTGGAGATCAACTGTATTACCCCGCCCTTTGTGCGGCCTTGCTTCGTCAATGTACGGACGCTGATCTGCAGACAGAGGGGTGGTTGTTGCGAGGTCCTACTGGAAGGCCCCAGAACCCCGGCGAAGCAGGTTGAGTTTGATCTCGAGATTCAGCTCTTGTGCGTTCACAGCCGTCAAACAATCCTAATCTTGTGCAGGGCACGCGGAGAACGACGTTGAATCGGACGATTGGCAGCAGGCGGCATAAGACAGCTCCCCGCATCTCGACGCTTTAAGATTGTTTGCGTGCTGCGCCGGGGCTTCCATGAAGGTGGGCGCCAGAAGAGGCAAGAGGATTTCGAAGACACCGAACGACGAAGACAGCCAATCGTTCTTCACCAGTGCTTTCGGCTTTGGCCACGTGGCAGAATTTCCTCAAGCCTTTTGATTACTTACTGTCGTCTTGTGATGCATATTCCTCGGGACAGCGACGCCAGCTCGTCTTTGTCAAATCGTGCAAGGAGTAGGGTGAAGGAACGCAATCGTGAAGTATCTGCATCTTCCAGAGGCTCGCACATTGGTGTGGCAGAGCCTTGGCAGCGAATGGACCCGTGGAGCCACATCACCGACGCTCCCTCCGCTCGAGCCACAGAACTGCATGTTGGCAATTCGGCTTGAGCTCAGTAGCTCGCTCAGAAAGCTTCATGCACACTAGAGCTGTTTGTTCACATCGCGTTCTGGAAGCACGCGATGTCCGAAATGTGTTGTCGACAACCGCAGCTCCATGACGGCGCCGCAAAGGTCGACAAAGCGGCCATGTGGGTGCAGCTGCACGGCATGCCACAGAACACCAGCATACAAACATGTCTCTGCAACAAGCGCCCGCAGTACGTACACACACACACAACCCGTGCGCTTGCTTACACGCACTTTTTGGTGCGCAGGTGGCATGCAGAAAGGTAAAGTTTCCAAGCTACCATCTCATTCCAAGCATGGAAAGATCAGTTGACACATTGGCTTTCTTTCAACGCTTCCTATGGGCGCAATAATCGGAAGGGCGAAGAAGCACCAACAGAAAGTTCAAGCGCCATCATGCCGGCGAAGTCACATACAAGTGAATGATCATATTTGACTGCTAGGTCTTGGACTCACGTCGGAGGGTGTCAATGGAGATGCAGCCGGTCTAGACAAGCTGTTTCACAAGGTGCCGGCTCAACGAAACCCACGCCTCGAAGCAGCAAGGCGTGGCCAGCTCCAACAGATTCAGGGTAATTTCAGGGTACTGGGACCACTCCAATAGCGAACAGTGGCAATGTGTGGGGTTGGCATTGTGGAAGGGCTTGCAACAGCGCGATGTTGCAGAGCCTGCAGAGCGGACATCGGTGGTTGCTACAAACGTACTACGGTGGCGATAAGTCCAGGTCAGGGTGCCCTGGATTTTCTTTGGAAGTTGAGGCCCCATGTTCCAGAAACAGAGCCCCCAGCGGGCACCGTGGATGCATGTCACAGTCTTACTTATGAACATCTTTATTGCAGGGCCGATTCGAGCCAAAGCTAAATCAAGACACACAGGGGACTGGATTTCTTAACTTAGTAAACGGTGAAGTTATGATTGACGTGGCAGGTCTGGAAGGGGTCTCGGAAACCCCCCACCAGGCCGAAGAGGAAATTAAACAAACAAGGGGCTCCTTTTCTTGCATTTCGATAATGAAGGACTCGGCTTCTTAAGTTTAAGAAAATGCGAGGTTGAGGGCGTCGGAGGGTTGAGGGACAAGTTTTTTTGAAAGGGTTCAGGGTTTAAGGTTCAGAGGAAGCTGCAGCCCCATGCGATAAGGCTCGATTCCTCGTTGGCCCCGTGTTTTTATTTCTAAGACCCTTCCCTTTCCAGAAATTGAAGGAACCCTGGGTTTTTTGGTTTAGTGAAGGATGCCAGGATTCAAGCTCAAGTGGAGGGTACCTTGAACTCCTTAGGGTCCTGCGACCCGCGGTTCCCAAAGTAAGAAAGTTTGGCCCAAGCTGGGGGGGGTCACCCCGGATCTCTGAATTTAGTACCGTGGCTGTTCTTCCGGCGCTTTTGGGTAACAGCTCTCGGCCGGCCGAGCCCCGAGTTTTCTAAAACCACTGTGTTCTTAAGCCGCGCGCTGTCCCCGTATTCCTTCGTGACCCTGCCTTGTTGCTGCAAAATGTCCGTGCAGTGCCCACGCTGCGCAGGCAGCGCCCAGAGGTGCCGCAGTGGCCTACGAGGCCATGGCAACTTGTACGCTAAGAGCTCTTCGTTTTTGTAGGTGCTGGTGCTTGTAGCGTATTCAGCTGCAAATCGACGGTCTGAAGTTGTTGATTTTCAGGTCGATAAAAATGGGGGTTGCTGACAGTCTTGCAGCCAGAGTCGGGTGGCAAGGAACGGTGTTGTCACGAAAGCTAGCTCTGTGGAGCTTGCGGGCGTTATCGTTTACCATGCTCTGGGGGAAAAACCTGTCCGGGACCTTGTCACCAGGGCCTAAACCCAAGAGTCAAGGTCGGGCGGGGGAAGGGATACCCCCCTCCCCTTCCACCTTGATTTGATTGTAAACGCTGAACGCTTGCGCCGCCTCGGCAGTTGGGCTGCCTCAACGCGGGGTGTAGCGTGCGCATCGCAGACGAAAGACAGCCAAGTCTTATGTCACTTGGTGCAGCACCACGCACGTCATGAGTTCAGACCTCGAAGCCTGGACGGAGACTCGTGATGGTGCTACATCTCAGATGCTTGGGCTGCTCATTCCTGTGTATGAGAGTGGCGCGTTTGTAGACCAGGCATGACTGTTCCCGCGTGTCGCACGTCTCTTCGGTTCCAAAGCATCCAGTGGGCAATATCGCAATATCGGAGGGAAATCCACTTTGGCAATATTTTAACCGACTTGGAGGTTTGGGAGGCTTGGGAGGCCTTTCTTTCGCACCTGACGAACAGAACCCCTGCCATCTTTGAGGCAAGAGAGTTTCAGGGCGAACGCCGGCAATGCTGGGCACTTGAGTGAGTTGGGCATTCTGTGTCTAAGCAGGCAGAAGGCCACAATAAGGCTTACATGGAGATCTGCATGTGCCAAGCTGCTTTGCCGTGCTTCAAAGGGTTGCAAAGCCTGGGCCGTCGATCTGCTGATTTTTCAAAGGACAATCCGCGGCAGCGGTGCCGGGAAGGTCAAGACCATTGGCAGCACTCGGGCGCAGGCGGCTGACGTTGAACGGGTTTAGGCTAGACCGGGCTGGAGTGGCGTTCATAGCGGCTGGGGTTGGACATGTTTAACATGTTTTTTGTATTTCGAAGTCATGTGGGAGTTGTGGAACCACCAGCAGAGACCGACATGTTCAAGGGAAAGAAGTCGGATGGGTTGCCGTTGGAAGCCCGGGTGCCGTGCCCATGCCACGTACTTTTTCCCCACCTGTGCAGGACAGGATGCTGACCGGAAAGCTCCGAGTAGTTGCCCGAGGCAGGGTTGAGTAGGGATGAGACTGAAAGTTGTAATCTCCCAGCCGTGGAAAGACATAGAACTGCTTGTTGCAGGCGTCCACCGCGCCGGCCTGCTCCAAACTTACTGTAGTCTGCAGACTTCGAGGATTCACCTTGCTTGCAGCGTGGCTGGGTCTTGACGACACTGAAGCCGTCGGGTCACAACTCATAGCCTCCAGGGATGTGTCAACCATCAAAAGGCCGTGGAATCCATCCCGCCCATCAGTCTTGGCGCCAGGTTCATGGATCGATTCATGAGTTCTCCTAGACCCGGAAAATGGTCCAATCTTATAGCTGCTTCCTTCTCTACACTACCAACTACGCAAGGACACATTCCCTCTCATCACGGTCTTCCTTCATGCCTTCAGATCCAATAGCTGATCGAACTCTACGCCGGCGCATGGCGTTTCGAGGATGCCGGTGCAGAGTCGGCACTGCTCAACTGTTGGAGTAACAGCTACTTCGCATTTCACTGGTCAAGTGCACATACTCGTGTGTTGAATGCTTTCGGCCCGGCTAGAGCACCTTCTTGAAGATGCTCAACCCTGAAGCTCTGAACCGTATCTAAAATCCAGGTCCCCGACGACCGTTGTGAGGGGCCCGTGGACGACCGGAAAGTGCGCGCCGGCCTCCCAAGTGTCAGGGGTTCGAAGCAGGGTGTTGCTCACATGTTCCCACTGAACCCTGGGGAAATGGGGCGCGAACAGCTTTTCCGCACCAAGCACGCCCCACCACTCCGAAGTTGTAGCAAGACCAACGGCCATATAGACTCACAATGCCCTACACACAGATCAGCAACAACCGGACACGCCCGCATAGCCCGAAACACGGCAAGCCATCCCTCCCTTCGCTCCCTTCCCTTACCTCCCTTC